AACTGTATGATACTCTCTCTAAGTAGTACGTCTGGAAAGGTAATCAAGTGGGACGGTTGGCATTGGTGGTGTCAAGGTAATAAATAAGATTTCTAAGGTGGCCAGAATTACTATTTGATTTTCATGTGGCCAAATAAATGTTATTTGGTTCTCTGGTCATCAACAATACTCCTGGATCCAAGTATTTATTTTAAAATGCAATTTCTTGGTCGTAAAGGTAGTGGGACAAGGGGATGAAGACAGTGATAATGTTCCCAGAGTGTACTGTGAATCTATAATTGTCATATGTACATAAAACAATTCAACATGTGACCAATAGTTAATATCTTCAAGAGCACCCCATTATCCTCCCTCAGATAACAGCTTAAGTATTTTATTAGAGTTATTGATGGTTTTACTAGTCAAAATGATACCTGCTACTCCATCTTCCCGCACCTCACCATCCTCCATTAGATGAACGATGGGGAGCACTGCTGCACAGATGCATGCTGGGAACACTGCTTGTGGAGGCTGAGGCACGTGGTGGTTTGGTGTGTGTTCGGTGGTGTGTTCCTCATCTGAAGAGAGATACATAATCGGGGTGTTTTTCTCAGTATTGTAATTCTAATGCAACACCATTTCTCAGTTCAAAGCTTTCCTATTTAACCTTCTTTTGGTTATAGATATCTAGGTGTCTTAGCACCATTTGTTGAAAAGACTATTCTTTCCTTATTGGATTTTCATGGTACCCTTTTCAAACATGAAATCAACATGAATATAATGGTTTACTTCTGGTTGTTCCACTCTATTCCATTGATTTACTGTCAATACCACACAATATTGATTATTGCTGCTTTGCAGTTAAGTTTTGAAATTGGGAAATGTGAGTCTTCCAGCTTTGCTCTTCATTTTCAAGATTATTTTGACTACTCAAGTATGTCGAGCAATCATACTTTTCGGTAGGAATGTAAAATGACACAGTTACTTTTGAAAATAGCTTGGCAGTTTACCCCACAAAACTTGTACATAACTGCTCATAGTAGTATAGTTTAGAATAGCCAAAAGTGGAAACAACCCAAATGTTCACTAACTGGTGAATTAATAATGCAGTATATCCATATAATGGAACACTATCTGGTAATGAAGAACTGATACATGAAACCACATGGATGAACCTTGAAAATATGCTGAGTGGAAGCATCCAGTCACAAAAGGCCACATACTCTATCTATGACTCCATTTATGTGAAATGTACAGAGTAAGCAAATCCATAGAAATAGAAGATAGATTATTTCTTGTCCGAGTTAGAGAAAGTGTGGATGAGGAACAACTGGTAATGTGTATAAGGTCTCTTTTTGGGACGATGAAAATAGTCTAAAATATTAATGGTTAGAGGTGCTAACTATTGCATAAAGGTTGCATAATATTGCATAATAACCAATGCATTGTATACTTCAAAATGGTAAATTTTATGGTACACGAATCATACCTCAATAAAATTATATCTGTTATAAAAAATACAAATGAGACTTTGGCCCAATCCCTGTAAGTTGTGATTAATTAGCATTGGTCATTTTTGAAGTTTCCAAGGGTTATACAGCCAAGGGTTGAGGACCACTGGTTTCTGTACAACTTTTTAATGACTTTATAAATCAGGTGATGAAATTTGTATAATCATGAGCAGTGAGTCCCAGACAGTTATTCATGATTAGAGAAAAGACATTTTTGAAATTCTTGGAACTGAAGGGTATCATGTCCCCCCCGCCCCCACTCTAGAATCAGATTTCATTATAGGAGTAGCATGAACTCTGGTCTTCTTTTGACTGTTAAATTATTCCAGAACAGCATCCTAAAGCATCCTACTGGGTCCTGGCCACTCATTGGAATCTCCTTCCCAAGTAGATTTTAAAAACTGATGTGTGGGTCCCATTCTTAGGAATCTTGATTTGGTCTTGGGTGTGGCCTGGGTATTTTTTTAAACTCCTCACTTGATTGTAATGTGCCAGCCAGGGTTGAAAACCTGCAGCAATAGGATTATTTGCAATGTAATTAAAATAGAGCCGATTTATAAAGGACAATTGCTGGGTAAAAAAAAAACTTTTTTTAGGGTACCACTCAATCTAATATTTGTTTTTTGAACTTCAAGTCCTGAAACAAGTTATTGAATGAAGACAGCGAAGTGTAATAAGAATACTAACTGGCAAATGTTTCAAAACACACACGAGTCATGAGGAATAAATAACACATTTCTAAGAGGACACACCTTCAGCACTAACAGCTGAACGCACAGACCAGACTGACCCTCGGCGGAAGGAATAATTCCTGTGGGAAGTGCTGGAGGTACAGGACGGACTCACAGACAGTCGACGGGATGCCAGATTGGTGACTTCTTCTACTGGCAAAGAAAATGGGGACCGTGACCTTTGGTTTTGTAACAAAGCTGTCATCATCACAACTGTAACTGCACTTACATCATGAGTGTATACTGCGCTCAGAGCGTAAGGCTTAAGTAATTTAGAGTGTACTTAACGAACGGAAAAAAATCTTTTAGAAACACAGACAGAAAATTCTTCTCACAGATTTCACAAAAGCAGGGCAGAGAATCCCTGAATTAGAATGGTTTGTAAATTATTCCTGATGACAACCAACAAATTGGCTGCCATTTGTGAAGGTTGATAGTTAATGGACTAACCCCATTTTTAATGATGAAAGATTGACTGCATTTACTTTAATACACACTCTGGATTTAGCTGTTCTCTGCATCATAATCACTGCTTGGTCCATTATCATATTGGTTCATTCAATGTGACTAACTCCCTCCTCTAGAAACAGGCCAATTCCAAAAATGAAGAACACAACAACTTTCCTCTTTCTTTTGCTAGTGTCAGGAGGTGAGAGAGAGTCAGAGGGTACATATCACCTCATGTCACATAAAATTGTTAATGTTTATTTCAAAGCTAGTCCTTTCCATTTCCTGTAACTTAGCCCCCCCAGGAAGTCCCGTGTGTAGGGGGCACCTTCTTCTTCTGGCTCTGAGTTGGGTGTGCAGGTGGGCTCGTAGCAAGCCTCTTGGGTGATGGGGATGGCGGTGATGAGGCTGGCTTCTCTACCAAGACGTTTCTTCTCTTCCTCCTGTTGCAAGTTCTTTAAGATGTGTTCCGCTCTCTGATGGGAGCGGGACACAGCCCGGGCTGAAAAGGATTTCTGTGGAGACACGAAGACCAATTTATTTTATAGAAACTGCTCTACAAGGTCACAGGCATAAAGAGTATTGCCATAGAATTACACAAATGTGGCACTTTGTCCTCAGAAAATGGAAGGGCACCCATGATTTAGTTCCATGGCCATTTGGTTGTTTTTCTGCCAGGTTTCCAGGTTGTGTGTAACTAAGCTATTCACTTTCATTCAATCAGAATAATTCTTCAAGAATATCTGTAAGTTGTGGGATTTCACCTTTAGAATTTGGGGTGATATCAATGATCCAGTCTTTAAACATTCAAGTCAAATAAAGAATTTTAATACTCTATTCCTTCCCACAACTTTCTGAAATGGTTTTAAATAAAGGTCATTTATGTCATAGGTTAATAAAAGCGAACCAGACAGAGGAGGAGGAATGGGACCTCTCACATAAACCATTTAGTTATATGATTTATTTCGTTTTTGTATCTCGAGTGTCTACCACACGGTAAATACTTAATTATTGTAGATAAATAGAGTGGCACACAGCAAATACTTAACAATATTTGTAGAAACAAAGTGAATAGAAATTATGAGAGTTGATATGGTTACTGAGGTTGAATACAGGATCTTTACATAAGACTAACATTTTCCTATGCTGAATGGCACAGTAGCAATTAAGGGCATTAGATGGGCCACATGGCAATTTATTTGCATGCCAGGGGTTAAGCTGATTTACTATATTAAGTTAAGGTAAGAATTATGGAATGAGAGAAAGAAAACTGGATATAGAATCAGGGGTCTTGCTTTCAAATTCCTTGCGAACTTGGGATAGAGAACGTACTTGGCTCAAATGAATCCACTGTCTGTACAGGAGACAAATCCAAGATCCTTATGCCAGTGATTCAGAAGCTGAATTTATGGTATAAACATTTTCACAGGTAAAGAGCTCAAACAGTTCTCCAAAGAAATGCCTAGCAAAAGTACGATGTGTAAAAATGTTCAACCTAACTTCATACAACCAAGTGACTTTTTAAAGAATCACAAATAAAAAAACCAATGGCTTTGTTTTTTGCCACTCAAAGTGGCATTAAAAAAAATAATACTAGCTAATTTGAATAACTATGACACACTTTTCTGTTCTATTGTATATGGGTAAAATGGTAAAATCTTCCTGGGGCTATTTTGGGTGGTGTATCAAAAAATCTTTAATATTTATATACCAATTGCCCTAAGTTCCATGGGAATTTGTGCAAGAAGATAGTCATGGATTTGGGCCAAAGAACATATCCATGTTCTTTTCCTTTTATTGATTTTCCATATTTTCTACATTATTCTTGTAATTCAGAAAATTCAACAAGTGAAAAAGGCATATTTTGCACTCATTTTTTGCAAAAGGCACACATTCTTGGTTCTTCTCTATGAATGGACAGTGTTTCTAAACTTAACTGCTTATGAATTATATTACATGCAGCACTGATATATTAGAGTACGTAAGATCTGAGGTCTCAGAGTGATATCTGTGATGATGATACTAATGATCAACAAAATGAAGAACAGACCAAAGCCCAAACAAGGAAATAAGAGCTGCCAACACAGTTCTTTTTCTTATTCATCCAGGGTCAACCTCATTACCTTTTGGGTAGCTTAGGTATTACAGGTTAGACGAATATCTTTGTTTTATAATAACTAGAGACAAAAGTGCTACCGTTGGCCAAGAAATCAATGGCTAATGCTTTTAACTGTTGTAAAAGGTGGCTGCTACTGTGACCATAGAACAAAACTGCGTTGGCTTGGAGGTCTGCAAATGCTCACTATGGGATATTAGTTGCTTCTATTCTATTCACAAGAACAAAGACCTCTCATGGCTGATTTTCTGTGTTATGACATTCTTATGACAAGAATGAACAAATTGTCTCATGCGCTCATTGTCCTTCTCTCTCATATGGATACCACAGAGCCTGAAGAGATAAGAAAGAAAGTGCCTGTTACTCACAGACTGGTCTTCATTAATGGGGTCCTGGACACTCCCGCTGCACTGAGGGACCCAAGGGGGGTCAAACATTGGGACAGATGGCATTCCAAGCACTGGTGAGGGCAGGGTGAAGTTTATACTGGGAGGCGGGATCTGTTAGTTGATATCAGAAGAATGAGGTAAGATGGAAAATAAGCTAGAATGAGTCTGAAGTATAATTATGAAATCATCTTATAGAGTACATGATGTTACAGAGCACAGGATGAAGGTCTCTGGGTCTCAGTTTACTCATTAAAAAAATGAAGGGTTTCAACTATATGATCTCTATTTGTGTTAATTATCCCATCCACGAAAGAATATCTGTATAAATATAACGAAGTACCTGAAAGATTATACTCCAACCTTTTGTGGGCATACTCTGGGGATGGCTTATAGAAACTTGATTTTCTTGCTCTACCACTCTTTTTATTTCAATATTTTTTAAAACAAGAATTCATTCGTATATGAGTTAGTTTTACTTATATAATCACAGAGGGAAAAAAGAAAGAAGCATCTCTTAGGTTATACACTGTAGATTTGAGGTTCAAGGATTTAAACAAGCCTTGGGTTGGGTTTGCAAATCTAATTCCTATGGCAGAAGCATCCCTCACCTTAAAAATCTGCTGTGCTCCTTCCTCCATCCGGGGCCAGACCTGGTAGCGAAACCTCCAGAGTGTGTGGAACTTGAGAACGGCGTTCAGCCTCTGTACTGTCTCTGGGTGGTGGAACTCGGACATCAACATGTCAGACACAGCCTCAGGGACTTTCACCGCACACAGCAGGAACATGGCAGCTAGAGACAGCCAACAAATCATCAGCTACACACCTTTTAATTTTGCTTGGTCCCGGGGGATGGGGAGAAGCAGGGAGCTGTTCCTGTCTCCTGAAAATGACTCCTGAGCTAAGGGAGCCAGACCACCAGCACTGGTAAAAGCAAATCTTCTTTCAGCCACTGAAAACCAAACATGATCCTTTGCGCCATCCACAATCTTTCAATATCTGGTGAAGGCAACGACAGCATGATATTTCCGGAGACTACCTCATTCCAAGCAAAGCTTCCTTTGGCTCAGAGTGAAAAGTGAATGTGAGAGGAAGCAAATGAAAAAAGAAAATGAAATACTGAAATATCCTTTTTAGGAAATGATAAGAATCATGTCATAGTCATCCTGGGACAGTGCACAAAAATGTCCATTAAAAACTGTCCCAGTTACATTATATTAAAAATAAAATCCTGGGGCGCCTGGGTGGCTCAGTTGGTTAAGCGACTGCCTTCGGCTCAGGTCATGATCCTGGAGTCCCGGGATCGAGTCCCATGTCGGGCTCCCTGCTCAGCAGGGAGTCTGCCTATCCCTCTGACCCTCTTCCCTCTCGTGCTATTTCTCATTCTCTCTCTCTCAAATAAATAAATAAAATCTTTAAAAAAATAAAAAAATAAAAAAATAAAATCCACATTGTAGACTGTATTAGAAACCTCCACCCTTCTGAGAGATAGAAGAGATCGAGAAGCCAAAAGAGATTTCATGGATCATAACACCACTGCTGTTTTTTAATTTTGGGAAAAGTCAAATATCAATAAGAGAAAGGTCAAGTGCCACAATAAGTTACAAAGTTAATGAGTAACGGGGCAGAAAAATACACTCTGTAGCATAGATGGATGAGCTAGTGTCAGTCATAAAAATATAATTTAAAATTCTCTTGTACTTTTTCCTGGATCATCAAAATATACTCAGAAAATTGTGTTAGGACAGCTGGGGTCGAGTATCAGCTCTGAAACCTCTCTGCTCTGTGCTCCCAGGAGAGCATCTCCACCTCTCTCAGCCTCTGTTTCTTTAGTGGCAAAATGTCAATGATGATGATGATGATACCTGTCTCCAAATTTGTTGTTAGAATAAGATAAAATAATGTATGAGAAAGAGCTCTGTGACGTGAAGAGTATTACACACTTCTAAAGCATGTCTTATTTTCTAGAGGCAATGTGGCGTATGGGAGGGACATCTATGTATGAAGTCAGAAGACCTGGGTTTGGTGTCCTGGCCCTGCTGCTTCTGATCTGCGTGCACACGGATAAGTCCCTTCAACCCTCTGAGTTACAGTTTGCTCATGTATAAAATGGTTGTTGCGGGGATCAAGCACCCGTGTGCTATGGTTCTATAAGAAATGTTAGCTCTTGTGACCATTAGTGTTTGATAAGCCTTTTCTTTATCCGACTAGTTCCTTACATTTCCACTCTTTCTCCCTTCTTTTCTTTTCTTTAAAGTGTGCTCTGTTCTGTCTCAATTTTTAAACACCACGGTCTCTTTTTACATCATTGCAAGTTGGAGTTTTATCTACCTCATTCCTAGCACTGAAGCAGTTTTCTTGTAATGCTCACTAATCAGTAGATCCAGTGGTACTTTTCATAGCATTTGTTTCCTTTTCATTTTTAACACTTTCATGACCATCTCCCTGAAGAGCTATCCTTTGCTTGCATGGTTTGAGGTTGAGCTCTTCTACTTTTCTGGTCATTTTCCAGGGTATGCTGCTGGCTGCCTGTCCTTTGAAGGTAGGGAAGGCCAATGGCTTAGTACCCATCTTTCTGCTCTTTATTCCATAGATTCTTCCCCCAGAAATGTGCTCACTGCTTCAGCTGCCACAAAGATCAGATTTTTTTCCCGAGCTTATCTCTACGTTTGCCCTTTTTTCATTAGCTTTAATGTCATGTCACCAACTATACGTCTCCTAACCATCTAAAACCAAACTGCTTTCTTTACTCATTGCTGCCATATTCAATGCATACTGTATACACAACACTACTCTCTTTTCTAGAACCCTTGAGTGGTTTTCCACAGTTTAGCGGAAAGTCCATACTCCTATGAGTGTCATTCAAGGGCTTTTACAATCTGAGTCCCACTCACTTGTCTAATACCATGGACTGGGGACCCCTCTACAAAAGCCACCCCGGTCTCAATTCTTCCTCAGGCTTTCCAAATAAGCCCCGTGCATTTCCACACCCCACGTGGCTTTGCATACACCATTCTCTTCCTTCTAGCTTTCCTTAAAGCCCGTATACCTGTTCATATCCTCCATGGAAGTTTCCATATGTCTCCTATTTGCGGAGGGTGCCTTTCCCTGTACTCTCTCTCAGAAACATGGGGTAGAGAAGAAAAATCCAAGTTTTAATGCAAACAAAAATATTTTACAAAGACATTTGTTGCAATGTAGTATAAAAAGCCATAATAAACCGAAATTTCCATTAGTAGTCCAGGTTAAATAAATTGTTATGACCATTCAACGAAATATTTGGTAGGCATTAAAAGAATGAGGTGAATCTTTCAGCTAATGATAAAAAATGGTCTCCTAGGGAATGCTTCTAACCACTTCTCGTTTGGGGCTGCCTAATTTGAACTGGTTTTTGCTCAAATAAACTCTTCAAATTTTTCGTGTATACCTCAGTGTATCTTTTAACAGTTCTGGTAACATAAGAGGGAACAGAAGAAGACCACGATGGCCCCCAAGAACAATGAACAACCAGGTATAGGTACCTGTGGAGCCCCTGACATTGCAGACTTTATTTTAACTTCTTCTTCTTCTTCTTCTTTTTTTTTTTTCCTGAGAGAGAGACAGAGGAGGAGCCGGGGAGAAGCAGAGGGAGAGGGAGAGAGAGTCTTAAGCTGGTCGTGGAGCCCAACCTTGGAGATGGATCTCACGACCCTGAGGTCATGACCTGAGCTGAAATCAAGGACCAGACACTTAACTGACGAAGCGACCCAGGTGTCCCAGTGTTTCTTTTTCCATACTGGGTCTGAAAACTGGCCAGAATTAGATTGGGTCAAACTGGCTTCTGAGGACTGATTCAGATTTAGAAATGGGGCTGGGTCTGGGGTCAGACTGGGTCTGAACTAAACCAGACTGGTCCAATATGAGGCCTCAGGTGAATAAAATTTTATTCTAAGGCTGAACAAGTAGGTTCACCTTATCAAAGGTAATGACAGTGGCCACAGTGGATAACTTTTAACTATTTTAGAGAAGCTTATCCATTTATAAAGTGCCCTAGAGAGAAAGCGGTCTCAGCCAGGCACTCACTATACTTGGGGGTAGCTCTGGATTTTGGGAGGGAAATATCTTTTGCATCATCTTTGCCTCCTCATGTGTCCACGGCATTGTGCAATACTGCCAGAAAAACTTACTGTTTGTCCCAGATGAAACCTGACATGTTATTCAAAAGGATTTATTTTTAAGTAGCTCTATGGTCAGAAGTTGGCCAAACTGGAAACTAATATTGAGAGCCTGATAGGAACCTTTGTTTTTAATGCCTCCTCTCCTAAGTCAAAATGAAACTATGTGCTCCGAGGGAAAGTAAAACATTCTGAAGCCACTGAGGAAGGATTTACTAAAACATTCCAAAGAAACAGCTGTAAATCTAGAACCTGGGAATCTTTTGATTTCCATCTTAGTTGAAGATCTTCTCCAGGATATAAAGAAGCGATTTGAGGATAATGTAGTTGGATGGCTGGGTAAGCATCTTGACATTTAAATTATATCCCAGTCCTTTGAGGAATTACCAACTGTACCTAACAAATCGAGTCTTTACAAAAACAGAAATGCAGCCCTAGAAACAATTCAAAGCCCAAATATCCTTTTTACCAATCTCCAAACCCCTATTCATCTGAAAAGGCTTTCAGATATTGTGAAAAATGTGGATTTAGGAAACAAAAGCCCTTCTTGGAAGAAACTTACATCCGTTCTCTATGCCTTTGAGATGTAAATGTAGTATCTGGTTTTTCCCTTGAAATACAAACTTCAGGGAGGTAATTCTTATCAGAATACCATTCCTGGCGACCCCAGTGCAGACCATTCTGCCCCCGGGTCCTGTCCCTGGGCTTTAATAAAACCACCTTTTTGCACCAAAGATGTCTCAAGAATTCTTCCTTGGCCGTTGGCTTCAAACCCTAATATCTTTCCTACATCAATGTGATCTAGAATAATCTTTGATAAATAAAAACTAGTTTAAGTTTGTTTATTTAATTAAAACATACTATCAAAGTAATCAGCATTATATAATACTCTTATTCTAATAGGTTTGCTAAAAGTCAAATGAACTTACGTTATCTCTGTTGTAGAATTTATCAGCAAGAAAGAGAACTTAAAATGATGAACTGTTCCTTGTCTTAAGAAATTTTCATGGTAAACATTATTGTTAAGGATTAGTAGATGTAAGATTTACTATGAGGAAGAAGATACTTCTAGAAATTGTGAATGTATTAATAAATTTGCCAATCCACAGAATGCTACTATCACAGGCCACAACTGCTTACTTCCTAGTTACCACTAGGAATGAAGGATTCTAAGGGTTAAGAACCCTAATCAATATATGTAATTAAAACTACTTAGAAATAATAACGATGAAAAGTAGGTAACTAAAGTAAAATGACCAGTTGTTCCAGAATGAGGAAGATTAAAAAACGCAGAACAAAATCTGAATGGGTATGAAAAAAATTGTAGAAAATTTGTAGAAAAGGAATCTTGGAAAGTAAATATGACATGTGGTTAAGCTGACTGAAGTTGGAATGGATGTATTTAAGTTTTTAAATAATGAGTTTTAATATTAAAAACACACTGATAAAAAAGTTAGAATTTGGTTTTGTCTTGGCTGAAAAACCAAACTTTTCTTGGACTATCAGTCTGCGTTTCATAAAAGATTGTGAAAAGAGTGTTTTTGGTTTTTTTTTTTTTTACCTTTTGAGTAATCTACCTGGAAAGCAAAGGTTTTGTGTCTTACCAAAATAATTTACTGCGCTTCATGTTGTCTTTATCAGGTCTTTGGTCACTTAAGAAAACATTTTTTTTTTTTTTAAGAGAGAGAAAGAGAGAGAGGAAGAGGGTTGGGGAGCGGGAGAGAGAGAATCTTAAATAAGCTCTCCACCCAGTGCAGAGCCCCACATGGGGCTCCATTTCAGGACCCTGAGATCATGACCTGAGCTGAAATCAAGTCAGATGTTTAACCCACTGAGCCACCCAGGTGCCCCTGTATTTGCCTTTAAAATCTATTGTGGCTTTAGTTAAGTAGATAATTAAGTATTATTTCATAGTGATCCGAGATCCTATTTACTCAAATGTTCAAAACTTTTGACATTTTGGCAGCTTCCCAAAATCAAATTCTAAATGAAGTCTCTTTGATTTCAAAGTAACTTTGAGTTTTCCCAGAGGGTCCCTAGAAAACCTAAAAGAATTTGTCTCTCACCTTGTAAAAGAGATGTTAAACTAGTTTTTTGGTATGTTAAATTATGTGGAAGCACTGTCAAGTAAGAATTGACAATAAACTTCTGAAGTCATAGGTGTATGGAAATATATTACTAATACAGATATTCCAGAAATTGTTCCTATTTTCTAGGAAGTTGGTCAATATTCTCATCCAGTTATTATCCTAAATTATTGTGTACCAAAGACATAACTATATTTCTTTATCAAATGAACTCTCATCAGATCTTTAATCATGGCTACTTTTTTAAAGGTCTTTTTGTTATTTACAGAGAGTTACTGTTTTACTCTGATGCTTTTATGAAAGTGCTTCATCTTCAGAAAGATTCATGGTAATATCATAAAATTGAACAGGTTAAGAATTTCCAGAACTAATGGAAAAAGCAATTCAAGTAGAACAAGAATTAATGATATGAGACTGAGTGGACTAACGAGGGTGATTATAATTTTTTTAACCCTTTTTCTTCGAAACATTGCTGGTTCCTTAATGTTTTATTTTTCCAGATTTAAAGGAATGTTTTTTTTTCTTTTCTCTTAAGCTATCTATGACTTACAGTAATTTTATAAAGTCTATTGCTATAAATAAAATGGAAACATTTACTTTTTCTCCTTACTGATTCCTCCAGAATTCAGAAATTCATTCAGTATTCTTATTTTCATGACAACATAATTATTTGCATAAGTTCAATAAGAACCTGTTTTCGAATAACAGGGCACAACTGGAAACATTGGTTTTATTACCAAGGCTTTGACTGGAATGTGGTATTTGAGAAGATGCATAAAATCAGATATGACCAGACAGTTTTAAGGGACTAAGGCTGACTTTATGGAGCCAATAAAAACTCATTGGAAAAACTGGCCTGGTATCTTGCTTACAAGAGTCCCTGCAGCCTTACCAGGTGGGTAAGGAAGGCCATTTCCTGGCAGGCCTAGGAAACTCAAGATATCCTGAGGACCTCAAGAAGAGAGGAATTCAGCCAAATCTATAGGTACTCCTGGTGAATCCTGATGGTGAATTCTTTACTTGGCTTCTTCACCTGGAGAAGTTTTTAAAAGGCCAATCTAAGATTCCTTATAAAAAGTTCCAGCAAAACAGATTTGAAAAAAGCCTATAGGATCAATCACTCTTCCTATTGTACTTAGATAAATAATCAGGCCAGGTTTAATGAGACTAGACTTATTTTTGCAAACAAATCAGCCTTCCTGTGATTATCTTTGATAGAAATGAAGGTGAGTGTATAGAAAAAATTGTGTTTCAATAAAAAATTGTAACACTTGCGGATATCAGATTCTAGTCCTGTTCATCGTTTTTGATGTTTTGTTATTTATCTATATACCAAACCGGATCTTGAATTCTTCTAGTTTCCTCAAATATCTGGCTACAACTCCCCAAACTAATGTTTCCCACTTTCTGATTTGGAATCACTAAGAACAAAGACTGCCCTTGAAACGTCCTTGGAAGGGACCATACCAGCTCCTCCTTACTACCCAGATGGCAGCCAAACTTCAGGGACTTGAATGAAGTCCCTCATTAAAAAGAGATCCTCTAAACTCTTGAAACTGCACACCAGCTGGAGATCTAAAATTAAAATGGACTAGGAGGTTCCTCCGCAGATGCAGATGGCATCTTGGGGATAGCTCTCCCAAGATCGCAGAGCAAGATCGTCATCTCCAATATTAAACCTTCTTTCCTGTTGCCTTTTGGCTGCTTGCTTTTTCTCTGTTAATGAACAGGAGAGACCGTGCCCCTTAACTCTGGCAGCTATGGTTGGATCTACTCCTAAAGCTGTAGCTGTACAACAAAATCTCTATATTTTCTTGCTAACTTGGTTTTAGATAGTAGAATTGCTTTACTTCTTGGCTGAACACAGAATCTGCTGTGCCATAATAAAATACTCCTTGCTGCACCTGGATCAAAACCTCTGGTATTGTAGTGGATATAAGAAATTAACAAACAAGCCACTTGGCTAGAACAGGTATATTCCTTGACTTATTTATACCAAGTGGCTTGGTTCATGGGGACCCTGACTGAGAAGCATCCTTCAGTCTCTTGGCATTAAATTCCTAATAGTTCTCATTATAGTCTCCCTGGTGTGTTAACGTTCTCTCAATGATCTTAAATGCATGTTCACAACCATCAGCCATATATTACATGGTCTCACTGTGCTTGGAGAAGCAGAAAGAAGGTGGACAATGAGATGAACAGCAAAAACAATTGTTTTAGGATCTGACATCATAACCTATGAGTTTCATAATGAGACAAGAGCAACGTAACCCCTATCTGACTGAGTAGCACTAATACCAAATTTTTGGTCGATCTCTCATGTATGAGAGGATGACCAAGAGGGGGTAATTGTTAAATTAATTAAATAAGGAGACCATTAACATGATGTGGCTCTAATCGTGTGGTGACCTATGTAAGGAAACAAAATCTAAGCTTCTAAACGCCTCAAGGTTACAAATCATAATGCTAAGGACAACCAATCACAAACAGCCAACTAGGCTTTTAGCTACAGCCAGTCGGTAACTGCCTAACTTTGCTTCTGTCCTTTTTCTATAAAAGCCTCTCCCTGGGCTCCTGTTGGCGGAGTGCTTCTAAAACACTCCTAGTTTGGTGTTGCCTGATTTGGATAGATTTTTCTTCACATAAACTCTTAAAAAAATCTTCTAGATATAAAGGAAAACTCAAAGTTCAAAAGACTTTATGGTATGTCTTATTTGTGTGAAAAAAGAAACAACATATACATTGGTACTTTGGTATATATATATGTGTGTGTGTGTGTGTGTGTGTGTGTGTGTATATACACACACATATATATATATGTGCATGGTGTACCTTAGAAGGATTCCTGAAAAACTTAAAAATCATCACCGAGAGTGACTGAGAGAAAGTACTTTTAGCTTCACACACTTCTGTATTATTTGAATTTTTACCACATACATTTTGCAATTAAAACAACTCTATATGACTAAAAGAGTATGTAAAGAAGTGGAAAAAGGTGAAGAACCCACATTTTGCATGTACCTTTTATTAGCTATGTGGCTTTGGATAGGTCACCTAAATTTCAACAAATTTGTTTTAATACTGTAATTTGGATATAGAACATTACTGTGAACAATTTAATAAAGTTAATGATGGCGGTTCATGGTAAATCTGGGAAATCACAACACATAAAAAGAATTTCTCTCTTGTGAAATATAGTGACAATATAGGTTCCGGGGAAAATCATTTTTTGTAATTTGGCAATGCCCTCAGAAAGACATGCTCTTTGTGCAGACTATGGGGTAAAAAGTAAAGGGTGTGCTTAGCACTTCAGCCTCCCTCCCTATAGTGTCCAGCTCTGTCTAAGGTTCTAGCAATTGTTGTCTATCTGACCTAGGCGTGAAAGGGAATGGATGCACTTCTTTCTTAAATGCTGGGATGAGTGGCGACCAGAGTCATGGGTGATCTTTCTTTACCTGCCGCCCCTGCCATGTGCTCATCCATGCTGAGCAGGAGCTCCCAGGCAGCCGGCTGGATGTCTCCATACATCTCTTCCGTCAGAATTGGTGCTGCCTTGATTAACAGTGATAAAGGAGCAGGCGACAGGCTCATCACCTGGGAAAAGGTGGAAGTCACGTCTTAAAATCATTGAAGACACTGACTTCTGGACTCCTCTTGAAACCCAAGTACCACTTCCCTTCCCTGCTTTCCTTAAATGACCTTAAAATACTTTCTAAAATGATAGCATATTTATTGGCATGGTGTATAATAAACTTTACACCTTATTAGTCGATGTATAACTACAGAAGATATACTAATTTTATAATGCTTTCACCGCAAAAACTATTTTGCAGCCACCTAAGGAATAAACTATAGAATAAGCTCTATGAGAAAAGAAAGACTCCAGCCAGTATATCTTTGTGTTAAAAGTCCTGGCGGACTTTCAAAGCATCCCGTTTTCCTTTCTGTTAGGAGTTGATGTCCACTGAAGACAATAGGCAGCCTCAAATTTGTAAAGGAGTTCCATTCAGAAAGTTAGTTTTTTCTAAGCCAGTAAATTTGAATGACATTTTCCCTTTGAAATATTGCATATTGTGGTTATTGCCCTAGATTAGGCCACAAACATCCTATTTAATCCATTATTTCAGATAATTTATTTTTTAAAGATTTTATTTATTCTAGAGAGAGAGAGCAAGCATAAACGCGAGCAGGGGGAGGGGCAGAGGAAGAGGGAGAGAGAGAGAATCACAAGCTGACTTGCCACTGAGCGCAGAGACTGAGGCAGGGCTTAAGCCCAGGGCCCTGAGATTGTGACCTGAGCCAAAACCAAGAGTCTGATGTTCAACCACTGAGCCACCTAGGTGTCCCCATTATTTCAGATTATTCAGGTGATAAATGTAGGTTGTGGACAGTCTAGGTCTTTAGCCATTTTAAAAATTTTTCAGAAGAGGCACCTGGGTGGTGCAGTTGGTTAAGTGACAGACTCTTGGCTTCCCCTCAGGTCCTGAGATCAAGCCCCACATGGGGCTCCGTGCTCAGTGTGGAGTCTGCTAGAGATTCTCTCCCTCTGCCCCTCCTGCTCGTGGTCTCTCTCAAATAAAGAGATAAATCATTAAAGAAAAAAAATCTTTCCAGAAAAACAAGCTGTTTTTCACCCCTGCCCCATCCCCTGCCCTGGGAATACAGTGCAATGGTTTAAACGTTCGGTTGTAATAACAATATTACAATGTGTCAAGGACTGCATAAGTAGATAAATATACTGTCTCTTTTAATCCATGCAATAATCCTTTGAAATGGGCCTAGTGTTATAATCCCCATTTTATTTATGTATGAGGCAGCTAAGAGCAAGAGAAATTAAGCAACTTGCTCAAGGTCCCAGAGCCATAGCGGCAGCTGTGGGATTTGAACCCAGAAAATCACATTCTAAGAGTGGTGAGCATCGCCACCACCTGCTGGTGGGGGACTGGCGTCATGGAGCGGGGTGAGTGGGAGGAGGCACGGTTCCAGCCGAGCTCCCCAAGCCCTGTCTCTGTGGAAGCTGGCTGGCTAACAAGAAGGGATTTTTTTTGCTTGCACACTTGGTGGCACTCTTCCCCACCAATTAAAGGCGTCTTCAGGCTAACACTGTGCTGAGTGGCTCTGGACATCTCAAGCGTTGTAAACGGGATATCTGGCGCCCCCTCCCGATTACTGCTCCATGAACGTTTCTGATCCAGCGGTCAACACCTGCAGTCTGATGTATTTCAGCATTCCTGAGTCCTTTTTCCCTTCCAGGTTGGCCTCTGAAACTCTCTTCTTCAGAGAGGGCGTCCGTAGGCATGACTTCTCTGAGCACTGCAAAGAACATAAGTGATGAAGAGTGTTGCGTTCTCTCAAAAGCCAGCCGGGCTGTTTCCCCCCAATTTCTCCAAACAACAAATTTCATCTAATGGGAGGGACGATGTAGGTCTCTTTGTAGGCCCACACCTGAAAGTGATAAAAACAGTTAATTTTGGAATGAAAGGGAAGTCAGACATATTTAGCTATGATGGAAACTGGGGTCCAAAGAAGCGGAATAACTTGACCAAGTCACACAGCTGGCTGTGAGCAGAATTAAAAAAGGACAGGGCTCTCCTGACTTCCGTTTCAGAGCCAGTTATAGTCCATGAAGCTGTTAAAAGCACACATCTTTTAAAAAATTAAGTCAGTTAAAACCCACTCTATCGAATAGCCCCCTTTACAGGTTTGGATGTTACCCCCTGGCCATTTGGTCACAGAAGAAAGGATGTATTTCCTAAAGGAGTGTTAGGAAGTAAAAGAGAAAAGACTCATCAAGGAAGTACAAGTTCAGAGCATTTATCATCTAGGCCTGAGTCATAAGGTAAAATGTTTTCTTAAAAAAAAAAACAAACCAAACTCATTTAAAAAACAAAAAACAAAACCATACTCGTCTATAGGCGGCAGCAGCTCTTTTTCCAAATTGTCTCCTGAACCAGGGTCCAGAAGAAAACTGACTTCTGCATAAACACAGAGGAGACAAGGTTTCCTTCCTCCAACCCCCAAATCCCAGGACAGAGCAGCTGGGAGAATGATCAGTCCTAACGGTGACAGGCTCTTGTTTATTTATCTCGAGTCTTGATTGCTTCTACTTGTGCACTCCGGGCTATGCAAAGAGGGACTCCATCCTTCTACACAGAATAAATGCTCATTTGTTTTTCCAGTTCCATGTCAATGAAACACTTTCTCCCTCAAAGCTGAGGATAAAATGGAAATCCTCAAGAATTTTTGAACAGAGCTTCACAATGTTATAGATGGATATATGAGAGAGAAAAGACAAATCTAAAAGTACATGAATGTTCCAAGAAAGTCTTTCAAAACTCTGACAAAAAGAAGACAATGCATCTGGTGTGTGACTGGTATGGAATGAACTTTTAGAATGAATCTACTTCGAAACAAATGAATCAGAGCTCTTGCTGTGTTTTCTAAAGATAACAACGTGGAGGCACATACTTGGGAACACATATCATTTGAGGAGATAAATCCTGCATTACATTTTTTTTTCCCGTGGATGTAAAAACAATATACAGCAAGATCCATGCCTGTTTTATAATTTGGAAACTGTTCTAAAATCATATGGCAATCATTTTCCATATAAATGTAGGGGTGTGTTTGACTTCCTTTTTAAAAAGTCAAGTTATTTTAAAAGGGGCATCTCTCTTATTCTACTTATAAAACTATATGTGCAAATTGCAGAATGTCTGGAAAACACAGAAAAACTTGGAAGAAGAAAACAAAAATTCCTATAATCCTTAACCCAGTGACAGCCATTATTTTGTTCCTTTCAGCCTTTTTTTCATTCTGTGCCTCTTAGCACAATGGTGAGGATGTAATTTATGTGGCTCACAATTTTAAACAACTCATTTTATTAGGATCTTATGATATTTCCCCAGGTCATTAAATATGATTTTCAAAATAGAATTTAAAATATGATTTTCAAATTTTATTACTATTTCACCCTTTTTCCTCTGGCTGGACATTTTGTCTTTTTCAGGGTTACTTTTGAACAATACCTCTTGGTTAAATTATAGGTTTTTTTTTAATCAGGCAGATACTAGCTTAGAAGAAAAAGGGTGAACATTCATGTTTGCCTCTGACACTCTGGGAAATGCAGGATTGTTTGATCCTACTTACTAGCGACAGAAGCTACATGTCAAGCTTCTCAGATATCAAATACTTAATATTCTTGCATGCTTCCCTGGGAAGCATGGTGTGTTCTGGTGCCTCATCATCATTAGGATGCTTGTGTTAGAGGAAAGGGAAGGGAACTGGCACCAATCTAGGGTGATGGGCTAGTCACTTCTTCTGAGTGACTTGTCAAGGCTTGAAAGGTATGTATCAAAGATGCGTACTTGGGTGATGGGCACTTGGGTAACACTGTGAAAGTCCTCAAGTCCCTCTACTGGTGTGACCCCCTAAGTCAGACTGACAAGCCTATCATCATTTGATTTTTGGCTTTTATAACTCAGTGTAAAACTTGGCTAGAAGAGAGCTAGTTGCTGGATGGAGCAGGAGGCTAGTTCTGAAGGCATCTTTTGTTATTAGTGTTTCATGGAAGAGTAAGAAATTTTGCTGGACTGTAAGTTGCATATGCTGTTTAGAATTACACATCAAGCTGGGACCTGTAAGGAAACCCAACACTAGTAATCCAAGACCAAAGGACAGAATGTATCACCAGTAGAGGATGGCATTCATTGTTGAGTCAGTCTCCCAGAGGGAGCTATGGTCAATGGCAGGCAGCTACACAGCTCCAAGGAGGTGGCAGGGATCCTGGGGCATGCTCGCCGTGGTATGGTGTAGATCTCGGACCACTGACATTTTCTTGTCTTGGACATATATTCACCATACCTGGCTCTGTGACTTCTCTCCTCATTCTGACCACTATTGACTAAATGTGCAATGCAAAACAACCAACCTTCTGACTGGCCAGGGCTTTATCCCATGATGTTTGGATCACAAAGAGGAAGAGTGGAGCCCACCAAATTCCTGTCCTTCAGAGTTAAGGGACACAGAGTCTGATTCATATGGTGATGGTTGCTGGGACTGAGCAATGATGATGCAAACGAGATTTTCAGGTCACATACAAGATGAACAAAGCAGGCCGAGTTGGTCAGGGGCAGAGATGAGGGAGCAGCTGCAGATGCAGAAAGAAGCAGAGAGGAGAAACTATGCCCATTCTGATATGGACAGCAGCTTTGCTTCTCCTTCCTTTAGGGCTTGGCTCTTTCCTGGTGGGTCCCTGGTTTCATGAGATTCTGTTATGTCCTTTGAAGAAACCACCTATTTGAACAAGTTTCAGCGGGTTTCTTGCAACAAAAGATTACTAACCAGAGAGGCATAATACTTAATTATTTTAAATAAAAACTTATTTATTCATTTAATAATTCAAGAGTGTTTCTTAGGAGTTAACCAAATGCCAGGAACTGGGCTAACCTATGGGGATGTGCTGTGGAGCAAAACTCCCTTGATGCTTGCCCTCATTGAGAGTGTATCTTACTAGGAGAGACAGTTAATGAATAAGCAAACAAATGAAAAATCATGGTAAGCAGAAAAGGAGACAAATGCCATGAATGAGGATGTACTGTGGAAATAATGTGGTATTTAAAATTTAAGAAAACTGGGGGTGCCTGGGTGGCTCAGTTGGTTAAGCATCTGCCTTTGGCTTAGGTCATGATCTCTAGGTCCTGGGATTGAGCCTCATATAGGGCTCCCTGCTCAGTGGGGAGTCTGCTTCTCTCTCTGCCCCTCTCCCTGGCTTATTCTCCTGTGTGCTCTCTCTCTCTCTCAAATGAATAAATAAAATCTTAAAAAAATAAAAAAAGGAATAAAATTTAAGAAAACTGGAGTCAGTCTACTGAGCTCTCTGGGAAAGATATCTTCCCGGAAATGTATTTCATGCCAAGAGTAGTCTAATTATTTCCGCATAGGTAACCTAGACCTTTGGGCATCACACATCTTTGACACGTGAATTTGAAAGGGGAGACATTCTAGCAGATGAAATCAAGACCTAGGGCCTGGTCTTGGTCTCACAACAGTGTTTTTCATAGCTTTGGAAAAATATTAGTCCTGCAGGAAAACAGTTGGCCTCTTGCCACTTGCATTGGCTTCACAGAATTTACAGACACTGTGCCCTTTCTTTTTCAGGCATGTATCACCTTTTACCCTCCTATCCTTTTTGGCTGAAAGGAAAAAAAAATGTTTCATCTACTCCTTTTTTTCATCAGCAAGCACTAACTGAACATTTACTCTGTTTAGAACATAGCATTGGACAAGACACGTATATACAGGAAAAAATCAAAGAATTCTTTGGTGAAGGTAATACACAGTTTATAAAAACCCCTCAAGCTTGGAAGTGCACTAAAATAGACTAACAGGATGTACATTGTGTCTCTGAGCATTGAAATGTACATTAGCAGATTGATCCGAGTTACATGGGTTACAAAATGTACTAGTTGCCACAAATATATTCTGCCATAAAAACCAATTCAAAAGGAAACAGGAGTGAAATATCAATTTCTCATAAGGCTCCATTTTAATCAGAATCACTGATTTTATTCTTGATTTATTGCCTACTCTATTTTCATTTTGGCCCTAGAAATGTGGGCACTGTTTATTTATGTGACAGATTCAGCCCAGGAAACGGAAACATCATGAGAGAACAAAAAAGAGCTTGCAGAGGAGGCTGGCATTTTGAAAATAAAATGTTTATTGCAGCAGACTCAATACATTTTTTCAGCTCTTCACCTGCATGACTAATTTAAATATGTTAAGATTAGAGAACATTTAACTCTTGCTTTACTTTCTCTTTGTCTTTCTAAAATGTAAGCATGCCTAAGGTTGGCAAGCCTCTTCTGCTGCTTCGGGCCAGTGTCCTTGGTGGGCTAGGGGTAGAGGGCACTCATGAACTAGACAGCCCACTCGGCCGTTCAATATTTACTGGCCCTCTGCTCTAAGAGAGGAACTCTGGTAGGTATCACATAGGAAACAGTGTGCAAGACTGCCAGGTTCAAGTTTATAATTAGGTGGCAGAAGAGAAATAAGGATATAAGGGGCCCCATCTTGCAGGCAGAGTGATCATAAAACTCTCAGCGCTTACCACTACTCAAAGGATAAAGACTAAAATCCTTGCCACCGCCTGGGCGGCCCTGCGTGGTCTGGTCTCTATCCGCCTGTGCAGCGTGCTCAACAGTCCCTGCTCCTCCAGCCACGTCCTTCGTACTCATTCTGTATTCAGTTAACATCCATGCATCCTTCAGTCAAAACTCATTAGTCACTCTATTGGAGAGGTGGTCTGATATCCCCCGACAAGTTCAAAGTCTTGTTCATAAGCTGTCTCAGCACAGTGTGTTTCTTTTTCCCAGTTTCACAGCAATCTGAGGCATTAATGTCTGTCTCTCCAACTAGGTTGTGTGTATCATATGAAGACAGGAGCCATATCTCTTTTGCCCATTATTATACTCAGCACATGGTATGGACCCAGCATGTCCATCGGTTCTTTAAAAGTTTGTTGAATATATACAAATGGATGGATGGATGGCTGGATGGCTGGATGGGTGGATGGATGAATTAATGAATGAAGAATGAGAAAAGCACGAGTAAAAGGCCATTGTAATTTAGAGGATGGAGGGAATGAAAATAACATTAATCATCCACCATAGTATGTCCTGTGGTTAACACTGGGAAGATCAGTGTTTGTGACTAACATAATAAAATAAAATTAAAAAAAATAAAGCTAACCAGATGAAAGTTAAAAAAAAAAAACAACACTGGGAAGATCATAAATGGTTTCAAGGAAAAGGTGGCATTTGAGTTGGATCTTGAAGGATGTTTGGGTTTGGCCACATACAGATTACAGGTGAAGGAATAGCTGGAGCAGTAGGAAATCTCAGAGCATGTATGGTGAACAATGAACATTAATTTAGGTTGGTATATTTTTGCAACTTCCAACATATATGGTTTTCTCCTAAAACTAAGGGAATTTCTATATGAAGGAGAACTTACCTAAATAAAAAATTATATACATATCTATATACATATATACACATGAATATATATATATATATTTATGACATCATTGACAGTTCATGAAGTTACCCACATTGATCTATTCCCCAATGATTTTCCCTCAGAATATGTGTAGTTTGAATACCATGAGATACAGCAGAGTCTAGTTAAAAGGCTCTGGATTTGATATTCCATCTTTCTAAATTAAAGTCTAGCTATGTATGTTACAGATGTGAACTGTGACAATCTCATTCTTCTGAGCCTCTACTTTTTCGTTTGTAAAGTAGGGAGTACAGTGTCTCTTGCACAAGGTTTATAAGAATCAAAAAGCCCTTTGTCAGTGATATATACCTGCGTTATAGCCTCACATATATGCTTTGAAAAAAATACTCAAAGATCCTATCCCAGAAGGCAAACGGCACACCTATGAGAGGCATGAAATACAGATCTTTTTCTTTCGGATCTCTTGTATTACCCCAAATTTCTTCAATGAACTGTATTATAATTAAAAAAAAATTCCTTTGTGAGTGCTAAAGCATTACAAACTGCTGCCTGACTCAACTGTAAATTTTTTGTTACTGCTCATATTCTCCAGTTGTTTGATTTGAATTTTATCACCTTCCCCCCCACCCCACCAAACCTGGCTTGCAAACTCCTTAGGGGAAGGATCCTCTAAGACTACTTACTTATTTTTTTATTTCTCCCAGAATATCTGGTCTCATATTGTGCCAACAGCAGGTGCACAATGAATGCTCACTGAAATGAATAGGTATTGTATCAAAATCTCTTTGTAAAACCACTTGTGAGGAGCAGCTGCAGGGCCAGCCAGAAGCACTCGGTCAGGCGTCTTGGCCATCGCGCCTGTTGTGGGGCAGGTGGGTGACCCGGGGCTCCCCCGGCAGGAGCACGGCAGCCCTGGTTCCTGTCTTCAGCTCCTGCCAGCTCAGCTGCTCGGTGTACTTGTCAGGAAAGAGCGGCTGAATGCTTAGAAAATGTAAGAGTTTCTTAAAAGAGTTTCCTCTGGTCTGATTTGACCTAGATTATTATTTATCTGTGAACAGTTGGGCCATTTATTACTCATTCCTTAAGAGGGAACTGATAAACTATGTCAGTTTCCTATTACCACTGTAACAAACCACGGCAAACTTCGTGGTGCAAAACACCACAAATGTATTATCTTATGGCTTTCCAGATCAGATCTAAAATGGATTGGCAGGGCTGGGTGGCTTCTGGAGGCTCAAGGGAATCATCCATTTCTTCACCTGTTCTAGCTTCTAGGCGCTGCCCCATCTTGTGGCTCATGGCCACGTGGCTCATGGCCCTGTGTCCCATCTGCTTCTGTCTGCTTCTGTGTCTCATCTCCTTCTCTGACTCTGACTCTCTTACCTCCTTTTTCACTTATAAGGACCCGTATGAGGACAATGAACCCACCTGGATAATTCAGGATAACTTCCCCTTATTCCCATAGGCAAGATCCCTCTTGCCACGTTAAGGTAACCTATTCACAGGTTCTAGGAATTAGAATACAGACCTCTTGGGGAGACATTATTCTGTCTACCACCATACCCTACTCATCACCACCACCCCTACAAATTCATATTCATTCCCAGAAATAAAACAAAACCTGGGAAAAGATTCCATGTATGCTCATGGATATGAAGACAAAGCACCTGTCTTTCTTTGCTCACCTTCTATCTTTGTTCGAAATCACACAGATCTGTAACCTGGTTTATACACCTGCCATGGCCTGAAATTGGCATTTCCAGAGAAAAGACTGCTGCGACATCATCTTCCCTATCGGAGGCATATTACCCTGTGCCCCTTCACTCACCTCTTTCTGTTTCTTGCCCCGGAGAGCCACACCACTACAGCTGTTGCTCTCCCGGAGGGAGTCCACGGTGTCTCCGTAGAGCAGCTTGATGGCTCTGACCAGCCGGGCACAGGAGCGGCTGTGGTGCAGGTAACAGTGAGGGTGGCAGTAGTCAATGTGGGTGCAGATGAAGCTCTGTTGATTGCACAGCAAGATCATGACCTGGAACACACACGTCCCTGACACTCAGCCAGGCAATCAGGGTTGAAACCACAGTGAGTCACTAAGTCCCGCAAGAAAGCAAAGTGTTACAAGGCTTTATGTACTTGGCTTCTTGGCTCTCTCCATTCACGCTTGATAGAAAGAGCTTTTTGAAACAAGAAAAGGTTAAGTGACCTCGAAAAACTCAAACCAATTACTATGGAGTGCATGATTTCCAAATAGTTTCAAATAAAGATTCTAAACTTAAACCACATTATTTTTGCAGCTCTTGTGTTGTAGAAGGAGCCAGGTAGAAGAGCATCAACTGGTGAGAAATTCTGTGCCAAAGGATTTGGCTGGCCTTTGACAGCTGTGGGATGTTGTTAACTCCAGCCTACCCGTGTGGAATTGAAAACACTTCCGCATCTTCTATTTTGGCCTAAAACCTTCAACTGAGCCTGAACCCAACTATAATGCTTCATTTCTTCTCTCTACAAATTAATTTTTCTCCAGCTTTTGAGCGATTCTAGCTCTTGGGGTTTGATCTGGCTCAAATCCTCCCATCACCTAGACTTCCCAAGTGGGATTCAAGAACTCAGTTGTTTTAAAGGATATGCTTCTTTTAAGATAAGGAATGAAGGCCTTTGAGTTTGTAACTTCTGAAGTTGCCTTCCTAAAAAGACAATAACTCTCCAATGTCCACAAGGCTAGTCAAATATGCATAGAATAATCTTCTGAATGTGTCCATCCTTCATTAAAACCATTTCCCACCCCAACACCTAATCTGTGAGAGACTGTGTGCCATATTGGATGGAGAACATAAAGTAAGTCTATGTGGACAAGGCCAATCAAGCATACTAGGTAGGGCTGCCACGTATTTCCTCAGGAATGAGAGGGTCTGCTTACTCTGAGGTGAAGAAAACAACAATAACAATCAACTCCACACCCCCGTCAAACTCAGATAACAATATCTCATACTCTTCAAAGTTAAAAAAAAAAAAATAGGTGTTGTCTGAGCAGAAATCCAGATCTCTCCTGAGCTTCACTGAACATCCCTGCTATTCCTGTACATACTGGTATGAAGCAGGGCACATATAAGAACTGTAAGGTTTCCCTTGTTATTCTCAAATCTGGATACTAAAGAGAAACACCAAGAAAGTTTATCAACAACAACCGAAACCAAATAAACACACAAACGATCATATGACTGGACTTTAGTTTAGAAGATTCTGATTTAGTAGAATATCTGGGGTGGAGGTGACCTAGAAATCTATAATTTTAAAGTTATGCTCAGGGACGTCTTTTTGGTAGATATATTTTGAAGATGATCCCCAATGATCCCACTTTCTGGTATTAATGCCTTTGTGAAACCACCTCCTGTTGAGTATGGGCTGGCCTAGTGACTTGCTTCTAACCAACAGAATGCAGCAAAGGTGAGGAGTTATCACTTCTGTGAGTAGATTGCACAAGACACTGACTTTTCTCTTGTTACCAGACTCTCCTTTATTGGCCTTGACAAAGCAAGTTGCTATGTTGGAAAGGTTCACAGAGCAAGGAAATGAGGGTGGCCTCTGGCCAATAACGAGCTAGGAATTGAGGCCCCCAGTCTAACAGTTCTTGAGTAACTGAAATTCTACCAATAATCACATGAGCTTGGAAGCAAATTCTTTCCCAGTCAAGCTTTCAGACAAGACCTGAGTCCTGTCCAATACTTTGATTGCCACCTTGTGAGAGAGTCTAAAGCAGAGGACCTAGCTAAACTGTGCCAGGATTCCTGACCCCTAGAAACTGTAAGCTAATAAATGTGTGTTGTTTAACATACACACATCTATATTAATATATATATTTGAATATATATATTTGGATGCATAAGATTGCATTCAACAAAGGCAGTCAGGACCTGAAAGACAAGATATGGAGAGAAAGGGCATTGACTGCAGTAAGCACAGTGTGAGCACATGCCACATTTCTCCTTCAGGCATAAGTGGCCGAGGAGGCAGGCAAAGCTTTAGGCAATTTCATGAGAACTGGAAGATAAAAATTGGAGTTCAGAATTGGGAGTAGAAAAGGGAGGTTTGGAGAAATGAGACTTGGCACTTGCTTTCTAGGCATTTGTTGACTGAGTAGCTAAGAAGCCAAGCAGAAACCAGCTGACAAGCAGAATGGAGATTTTGACAGTTTCAATGTGATGGAGAAGCAAAACTGGAGTTTCTGCCCCATCAAGACTGGGGGCACACCCCAGACTTTCACTGGGAACCTTGGAATGCTTCATACTAGGAGGGGTGTGTTGGGAGGGGGGTGGGGTGTCGGGGGGTGGGAGGTGGATAGCAATACTACAGGTCAAGTCAGCTTTGTCCTTGATAGGACTGAGGAGATCTTTACTATCTGCCAAAGTATAGGGTGAGTCCTCTCTGGAGGGAGACAGCATCATTGGGAGCCTCTATAAGTCTACATTTTTTTTTTTAATTAATAGACTTTGTTTTAGAGCAGTTATAGGTTTATAGCAAAATTGAGAAGAGTGTACAGAGAGCTCCCAAACACCTCCTGCCTCCACACATGCACAGTGGCCTTCATTATCAACATCTCCCACCAGAGTGGTACGTTTATTATAATCAATGAATCTACACTGCCATGTCACTATCATCCAAAGTGCTTAGTTTACATTATGGTTCACTCTTGGTGATGTACATTCTATGGGTTTTGACAGTTGTATAATGGCATGTATCCACCACTGTGCTTCTATAATTTTTCACCCACCATACCAATGAAATCACTAGGCATATTAAGGAACAGACTAAGAGAAGATAATAGATTCATATATTGGAGTTATCAGTCATGGATTTTAAATGTGTATGATCAAAATGAAAATTAAAAAATATTTTAACTGAATGATAATGAACATATGATGTATCAAATGCATGATACAGCTAAAGCTGTTCCTAGGGAACATGTATAGTTTTAAATGAATAAGTTATCAAAGTGGTTGGAAATCAGTTATCTAAGTATCTATATCAAGAAATTAGGGAATGAAAACATGTTAAACTCAAAGAAAGTAGAAGGAATTAATAAAGGTAACAGGAGAAATTAACAAAACAAAAATCAAACATTCCCCGAATGACAAAACCCAAAGCTGAATCTCTGGTTAATAAAACTGACATACTTCTGGCAAGATTGATTAAAAAAAAAAGAACGAAAGATATAAGCTACCAACATCGGAAACAATAAAGATACATCATTGTAGATCCTACAGAATTTAAAAGGATTTTAAGAGAACATTATAAATACCTTTTTGCTAATAAATATAAATATTTGGATTAAATTACAAATTCCTAGGTGGGGAAAATGTGCTCGAATTGTTCCCAGACGAAACAGAAAATCTGAATGGTCTGAATCATATTACATAAGTTGAATTTGTAATTAAAAACCTTCCTACAAAGAAATGTTTAGATCTAGGTTTCTACTTAAAGAAGAAATAACACTGGTCTTACACAAATACTTCAAGGAAAACTAAAAAGCATTACTTAAGGAAATTTAAGAGGAAATTTGAGAGATAGGACATAAATTAATAGAGGGATAGACCACTTTACACATTAGAAGACTCAAGAGAATAAAGATTTCACTTCCCCAAATATTAAGTGATGCTTATATTTGATATAAGGCTGACTTGAAAGCTTTTTTATAGAAATTAACAGGTGAGGGGCACCTGGGTGGCTCAGTCGGTTAAGTATCTGACTCCTGATTTTGGCTCAGGTCATGATCTCAGGGTTGTGAGATCGAGCCCTGCATTTGGCTCCATGCTGAATGTGGAGCCTGCTTAAGATTCTGTCTCTCTCTCCCTCTGCTCCTCCCCTCCTGCTTACTTATGTTCTCTCTCTAAAAAAATAAAAAGTTAATAGGTGATTCTAAATGGAAATGAATATGACCAAGTCACCTTGAGGAAGAACAAAATTGGAGGATATACCCTTATATGAACCAAACAAACTATAACACAACACAGTACATAACATATGACATCAATTATATGCATTTCAAAAACAGACAAAACTAATCTATAGTGTTAGAAGTTAGGATGGTGGTTACTGTTAGGGGAGAGTAGTGACTGGTAGAGGGCGTGTGTAGGGCTTCTAAGGCATGATAATGTTCTTGACCTGCTGGTGGTTACACAGATTGTCACTTTGTGAAAATTTATTGAGCTGTACACGTAGGTTTCCTCTGCTTTTCAAGATGTAGGTTGGACTTCACTAAAGAGTTTATTTTAAAAACAGCTGCCTCAGAGAATCTCAAAATTACGTTCTGGGGGTCACTTCCAGCCAGTTCTGGGGATTAGCCAGTTGTGTAGACACAGTACTGTAAACTCTGAGGAGCGTTATGTACCAGCCAGCCCTTACCTGACCCTACCAGGAAGTCAGATGAAAATCAGAAGAGATGGTACAGAACACACCTAAGATCAATAACAGCGCAGGCAGTACCCTGCTAGTTGCGGATCTGATGTTAAGCTTCCTTAACTTTCTCATCCTTTCCTCATGCCCAGCCTGAACCCTGAACTCTAATCCATGCCCAAAGTTTCCCTGAAATCCCCTCCTGCCCATGATTTCTGAGGAGCCCTTTGAAGTGTAACCTTTGTCATCTTAGGATCTCCATGTTCTGGTTTACAATTAGATGTATACAGACACAAGACTGACACCATGATCTTGCTCTTGGCATTTGTGGTAACCTGTAGAAAGCTGACGGTAATGCTTCGTCTGTGGTACCTAGGCTGTCTTGGTCACCAAACTGACCTGGTCCCTCAGGGTTTTTCCTGACTTATGTTGACCCACAAGCCAGCCATAACAAAGAAACTCTGGTTTTTGTTAAGCTTGAACTGAATACAATCCCACAGAATACCAATCCTAGTGAGGATTCAGAGGTTCAGCTGAAATAAAAGCCTATGGTTTTTCTTAGAGGCTAAATTGGATTGATGGTTTTCATATACTCTTTCATCCTTACTCCATCGATCTTTCTCAGTGCCAAAAGAAATTGATCTCAGGTCTCTTTCTGAGATTCCTACTTACATGCAGCCATGACATGCTCCTGTGGTAATTTTCCTCTGTGCCAGCAGTGCTCATTCCCTCTGGCTCGATGCTGGGCTCACTTGCACTCCAAGGACTCCCTTCTTCAAAAGAAAAATGCCAAGAAAGGTTATACTGTTCGGTCTCCCTGGAGAGCACGTTAGTATGTTAGAGTTGTCCATGCTTTTGAATCCTAGGGCAGACTACCATGGCCCAGTGGGTTAACAGGGCATAGCACTGACTTCAGTGGAGGAATGTTAATAGGAGCTGTTCCCTTCACCACCAGCTGAACAGGCAATTGCAAAGACATTTATGATCTCTGTTATGGTGGCTTCCATTCTGAGACATGGGAGCAGAGAAGAAACAGAGTCAAGTCCTTGAATTGCTGAGATGAGCAAGTTATTGATTGAGTGTGCTCAAATCCACTCCAGACTGCCCAGACCTTGCAGGTGTAGTTAAGTAGGGACACCAAGCACCCTGCAGTGGCCATAAGCGTGCTGCTGCCCCCTCTGCTGATGTGACTAGGGCTAGTGTCACGCTCTCAGTGCCCCCTAACTTTGCTGTCAGACTTATCTCAAAAATGATGGTGCCTCAAAAAAACCAAAAAACAACAAAACAACAAAACAAAACAAAACAAAACAAAACAAAACAAAACAAAACAAACAACAAAAACAAAACCCAACCAAAAAACCTAAGGGAATTTATAAGCAATTGTGGTCAATCATGGACAATCCTTGACAATCTTTTTGTCTAAACTCTTCTCTGCAGAAAAGTCTGGAGACATCTCTCTCAGGAATTCACATTATCTACCACACAAGAAAGCTTTGCCCTCAAATCTAAAAGCTTTCCTGGGTCATGTCTGTGACAAAACCATGCCTCTGGGCTGCCTATTTTGATTCAACTGGTCAGGCTGAACTAACCAATTCAAATAATTAATTGAAATATTCCCCCCCCAAACTAATTGATGACATTCTTACAACTTCAGGCCTGTAACAAATGAAGTCACAGGGTTTTTTTTTTTTTTTCCTACTGTCTTCTTAAAAAATAAGCTGAATCTTAACTAATGCTTAAATTAGTTATTTTCCAAAGTGAGGGAGGGTTGGTGTAGAAATACTTCCTATTTTAGACTCTCTTTGATTAGATATACTCAACTTCTATTTCAGTAGACTTGATTGATAATTTATCCATATTTACTCACTGACTTCTGAAACAACTTGCCTAGAAAGGAGAGCTTTCTATTTTGCTCCTCATACAGGGCCTGAGTGGCAAAGAAAACGTACTTTAACTTTTACCTGATAGCTAAATTCTGAGCAGCTGGTGAGTCCTATCCGCATACTTGCTTACTCTTTTTCTTGCTAGTAAGATGACCATCAGGCTCATTGGACTAACACATTTTGGGATTCAAGAGTCTCTTTGGATCCTACAGGGACAACCTTCACCTCTAATGCTTTGATTGTATACAGAGCTCATGCTCAGATACTTAACATACTTTATAATCATCCCTTAATTCATCTTTAGAGCATCCCTTCAGGGTAGGCGAGGAGGAAATAGAATTATTCCCACTGAATAGTTGGAGAAAACAAACCCCTGAGACATTAACTGACCCCCTGAAGGTCATAGTCAGGGCTCGAAATCTCTCCACTCTGAGAGTTTTGTTCTTCTGACTGTGAAATAGGGACTTTAAAACACAGAGGACCTTTAGGTAGCTGCCCCCATGGGAATTTCTACATTTTGCCCTGCTCTAAAGGGCGGTGTGGTTTTCAGACTGAATGTGTGGTCTAGCCTGTGGCTCTGCTCTCCAACTCCTGATGTGTAAGAAAAATGGGCTTCAGTTGTTTCAGGATTCAGGGCCTGTCTTCCTACCCCCCACGTCCCTGCACACCCCACTCCTCTATGTTACCTAGGTCAGTGACAGTGTCCCTGCTCTGGGACAGCTGCAGCTCCTCAGCCTCGGACTCTGAGTCCTGCCGTGGTAACTTGCTGCTCTTTAAGCTGCCGACCCGGCGAATGCTGGACAAGGAACCCCCCTTCTTCACCTGGAAACTGCGGGTTCCTTTAATCTGGAGCAGGCGGGAACCTCCTATCCTGATCTTCCTGCTGGGAACTGTATTAAAAGAATAAAATAGGGCTTTTTCCCCCTTAGTTTTCCCCAGCCAGTGTTAGATCCAAGCTCTCCCCAACTTGTCCCTGAACAGCCTCCTCTCTGTTGGCCGGGATGAGCAGCATGTCTGGACAAGGAGCTTCTCCCCAGCCTCCGAGTCAGGCAGCTTTGTTAAGCAGGCAGGAGGCTGGGTCCACCAGGAAGGGCTGGTGCAGCTTCTTTCTTGCACACATAGCTCATCAGTGCTGGGAACAACCTGCTCTCTTTCTGGCCCAGGGTTCACAAGCATGAGTGTGCCCTCATAGCACCGTGATCTCAGACTCTTAGTACATTCACATAACATCATTGCTTGATTCAACAGAACCACAAACCATTTGCTTTTGTCTTTCTTTTGAAATGGGACTGGCAGAGTTATGTGAGTTATGCAAACCCCTTCACGTAACCCCTTCCTTTTGGAATACCTCATTAAGAAATAAAAACAAGAGGCGCTTCTCTCTCCAACAGTCAGCAGTGGGTTCCGCTCAGCTCCTCAGCAATGGCACTAAAGGATTTGTTTTCACTGGTGTGCTTTGGGTGAACATGAGTGTGAAATAGTTCCATTTTCAATGCACCTAGTGATGTCATAGCATCCTTCTTTCAGGCAAAAGGCTGGGTGGGATGTGAGTCCAAATGGTGCAACACCCTGAGCCAACCTTACAGTCTATATGTACCATGAAGAACATGCATTATTCATCTTTAGTGTTCTGGAAAAAACAGTCATCAGTGAGGAAGATAAAAGGGTAAAAGAAACACGTTTAAACTTGAAACCTACTTTTTTTTTCTTTTTTTTTTTTTTTTTTTATCTAAAGCATCTTTATTCCCCATAGTCATTTACACTCCTACGTCCCCTTCCTTTGGAGATTTGCTGTTGTCACCCAGTGATTTGATAAGGACGGGATAAAGAAAGTTTTCAGAGCTTAGTCATTATCAAGAAGGGGCCATTATTTTTGTAAGATTTTCTTCTTACAGAAACAAGATTTCTTATGAATTATTTAAGGCATAGATATTAATATTTTTAAAAGTTCCAATCAGAAAGATTGCATTTTAGCCTTGGGTTGCTCACTCACAGGAGAGCGAGTATGTGACCGTGAGAAATGGTATAGCACTACAAGATGGTAATTAAATGTAGACTTTCAATGCCATATAAAGGAGCCCAGAAGAATTCCTGTTGAGTAATGTGCAATGCTTAATCTCTGATTTACCCTTGTGATTGAAAAAGATTAAAATCATCACCACTGAGCTGGCAAAGACCTCCCCGAACACATCTGGACAGAATTTTACATCTGGATAGAAATTCTTGCAACCTAGCCAGACAAATTCCGCAAAGACTATAGACTATCATGCTCCATTATAATTATAGCACAAAATTCATCTGCTGCATTTTTTCAGTATTATTTTTAGGCTTAACTGAGGCTTTAATGACCCACCTGAAATACATCTGAAATAGAATATTATCATTTTTTAATGACTACTAATACAATTTCATGTCAAGATAGATTGGGAAGTAGAAAAAAAGTTTGAGAGGTTTTTTTTCCTTTTTCTTTTTTCTTTTTTTTTTTTTACACAAGATACTCTCTCGCATTCTTTGCCTGATTTCATGATACCTCTTACCATACAAATTTGGGAAAGTAACCCCAAATTAACGTGACCTGAAAGAAATTCAATTTTGAGAACCTATTCTACTGCCAAAGATAATTGGAAATATCCTGTAGCGCTAAAAATCAGTGTTTAAGAATTATGGCATTGATTATTTACAAAGGACATAGCAGTTAGAATTCAGATTTGACGTTGTACTTGAAAACCATTAGTTGAGCTCATACAGCATTGAGTGTCAGCCTTTACCTCCATGACAACATGAATACGAAAATGAAACAAATACATCTAAATTGGATAAAACATCATTTTCCCTTTTCTCTCACCTCACCCATTGTCTCCATTAGCAAGTCCTGCTAGCTCCACGCTTCGAAATTTCCTAGGATTTTGAAAGGCCCATTACTTATTTCCTGGACTAATGTAACTGCCTCAATGCACTTGCTTACTCCCACTCCCACAGCTTGACTCATCTTTTCAATACATAAAGCATAAATACACATATTATATCACCTTTCTGCTCAAAACCTGCCAATGACACTCAGACACACTTACACAGAATTAAATTTCTAACCATATCTACAGATCCTATTTATTTGCCCTTTGCCTACCTATCTGACTCCATTTCCTGCTGATCTTCCAAGTCATTCTGTAACCACCATGTTGGTCTCTTTGCCCTTTTCGAATGTTCTACATTCATTCCTGCATCAGAGCCGACTTCTCACTGTTGTGTCTGCTTGGAAGACTCCTCCCTCAGCACTCTGCATGCCTGGCTCCTTCACATCATCTACGTCTCTGCCCACTGCCACTTATGGGGTCCTTCTCTGACTACATCCCTCCCAATCCAGGTCACTACCAATTCTCTGACCTTCGTTTGTTTTGCTTCCTATCATTTGTCTTTACTTGAAAGTCTAGTCTTTGATGTTATTCACTATCATGAACTATTAGCTAATAAAAACTGAAATATATGTGGGAAATATTTCTTCCTGTTCATTGCTGTATTCTGGGAACCTGGCCTAGCATATAGCAGGTGCTCCATAGATGATTGTTGAATAATCAGACACATCTTGGTGTCTGTATTTTGGAAAACCAGTCTTAGTTTGTTTGTGGAATGTGGATAAAATGATGTGGCGGACCTTGCTTGGGGATTTTAGGCAGGTATTTTTAGTTTATGAATTATTTCATATTTGTTTTCCTTGGTAGAATCTGAATTGTCCTCAGGTTGTTTATTTCAAGAACAACAGTTTTAGCTTTTATAAAAACAGATGGTATAAAATTTTAAATAAAATTTTAATAATGTAATTTAGCAGAGTCCCCCTGGCTTTAGCAGCTGGTATCAACTTATCAAAGGATTAAGGAATATTGAGGAATCTTCAAGATTTTTGCTACCAGTAAAGGACATTTTATGAATATGTTCTTACTTTATAGTTTCAGCTTTCTGTTCATTTATTAACCAACTTTCATATATTAGCATAGCTGTTCTATGAGGTGAAAAAATACTAAGCATTTGTGTTTTTGAACATCAAAGGAAATTTACATAAATGATAATCATGAAATTAAAGTGTTCTTAACAATTGATCTGATGTTTTATTTTTTTAAATGGTGTAGGATTTACTCTGTGTCAAGGTTAACCATGTCTGTATTAGGAATTTTTACTTCAGCTACTTTAAGCAATAATTAGCATAACAACTTTGAATAGGCAAAAAAAAAAATCCCCTTGGGATATATTTAAAAATGTAAGTTTGTCATCATATGCAGTTAGCATTATCTGAAAAAGTAATAGTTGTAAAAATATTGACTTGACACTTCTTCATGCTCAGAAATTGCTAAGACTTGGCTAATAAATTGTTGTTTTGCCATGAATTCAATACAATAGAATGACTATTTGCATTTTAAAAATGTGATGACAACAATCTGACATTAAAATATTAAAAAACTTTTCCAGTGTACCTCCATTCCTTAGAAGATTTTAAAGATTTTATGTTTTCTCTATCTAGGGCTATTCCTTCCCGGAATCATTCATTCCTTCAGTTATCCAACATTAACTGAGTCATTTTCTATAGGATACCAGAAAATACATAAATGCATAAAATAATCTTTGACTCTTTTAACAAATGTACTGATGTTCTTTTAGTCAAAATTCATTAGAAAAATATTGAAGGGCAGTGGAATTTAAGGACTAGCAAAATCAGAGAGAGATGTTAACAGTTTAAGGAGCCCTCGAAAGCAACTTAAAACTTGGTAATCTTTAGTTTATATTTAGAATTTTCCACATGGGTTCTAGTCTATAGGCTCATGATATAAACAAATAACAATTATTTATTCTATACGTATTATGTACCAGGTACTGTGTTTATGCTTGGCTTGCATTGTCTCATTGAAAGCTTTCAATATCACAGTGCTGTAGTTGTCATTAACCTAATTTGAAAGAGGAGAAAACTGTGGCTTAGAAGGTAAGCAACTTGGACAAGGTCATACGACTGGTTGTTATAGCTTACCATTTTAAGATGTAGTTTTTTTCACATTTTAACACATCTGAAATTGAGATTTGTCTTACAATTGATGCCATCTTAGAATAACTAGTGCCAGGGAGCAGTTGTGACACATTTGTTATTGCTTCTGTCCATGAGAGCATCTAAAGCACCAGCAACAAAATGTACAGGATGGTGCCAGTATCTTTTATCTCCAAGGAGCCAAATGGTAGTTGGGTGAAGGAGTGCGCGAGGTGGTAAGTCAGATGTGTTTGGCAACGTTCTCGAAGCAGGTAGTGAGTACGAGGTCAAGCTAGCTTCATATAGGTGCACGCTGGCTTACGTACCTAGCACCAACAGCTTTCCTTCTTTTACAGATTCATTTAAGACATGACGTAGTATTAACAGTCTAACGACACAGAGGACATTATCCTAGAGAAAAAAACATGGACACTGACAAAGCTGAGTTGAAAAGCGATTAAGAAATTTGAACCCAGAATTGAAGATCGTTTAGAAAAACTTTAACCAGTTTCTTCTATTTATATGTTCCCCCCCTTTTTTTTGGCTGTACAAGAATGATATGTATTGATAATAAAATCTGCATCTAATTAAGTCTGAAAGTCCTCTTTCAGTAAGAATGAAACGCCGACTAAATGATAAGAAAGTATTGCATACAGGCTGAATGGGAAGTATTTTTTCTTTCTTACTGGCACACGAAATAATGGTTCATCTGACACATAACCGATGGCATCAGTGGGATATGGAGAATTGCTGAGCTGGAATTACAACCCAAAACTTCTCCGACTGTCGCGTCCAGCTCCTAACTAGCATGGTTAAGTGGACACAGTACTGTACATAGCCAACAGTTTTGGACTTCTTTGGGTGTACAATTCTGTAGTGTGGACCCCAGGCCAAATATCCTATGAGAAATACTGAAACATGAAAAAAATTCTTGCTTTTCAATACCTTTCTTCTCCTCGGCCCCTGCATCTGATTTGAGGGTGTGGCAACTACTGTGGAGGGAATCTTTGGAGTCTTCATTTTCATCCAGGACCCCAGCAAAGCTGATCTTCCTCTCATATCTGTGCCGGTCCAACTCAGGATCCAAACGAAGTCTGCAGCTCTCCAAGTCCTGTGATGTCAGCGAGAAGGAGTACATGAATGCTGGCATCTCCTCAGCACTGCATTGGTCTTGTGGCAAATCTCCCTCCATTTTGAATTGCGCCCAGCTGAATTGCACAGAGCCAAATTCCTCTTTCTCTAATGCCAATTTCAGATTGTGGCCATTAAGGATGTTTCTTGAATTAAACAAAATCTTCCCTAACTCATAGTTTTTCCCTTTTTCTCACATTTTATCTTTGGAAAGCACACACCTTGTTTCAAATCTAGAATTAGCTTCCTCACCTTTTTAACTCTTTGTTCACAGTTTAAACTGCATCTTTGGCACTTATCTGTTTATTAAATGATCATGCATTGAATATGACTGAGAGACAGAATAGGAACTTAGAAATCAGACTTGGAGGCAGAATAATGCCCCCCTCCCAAAGAGGTCCATGCTCTCATCCTAGGAATAGGTAAATATGTTAACTTACATTGCAATAGGGATTGTGTGCCTGTGGATTTAGCTTAAAGACCCAGAGATGGGAAATTATGTTGGATTAGCTAAGTGGGCCCAGCCTAATCACACAAATCCTTAAAAACAGAAAGCTTTTCCGCTTTGAAGATGGAAAAAAGGACCGTGAGCCAAGGAATGTGGGTTGCCCAAGAAGATGGCAAAAAGGCAAGGCAACAGTCTTCTCAGGGGTCCCAGAAAGGAGCACAGCTTTCTTGACACCTGGACTCTAGCCCAGTGAAACTCTTATCAGACTCCTGATTTCTAGAATTGTAAGATACTATGTTTTTGCTGTTTTAAACAGCTAAATTTCTGCAGAAATAGAAAATGAATAAAGAGGTGATGTTGGAGTTTTGTAGTGAGGATTTAAAGGTAGCTTAGCAAACAAGTGGAGAAAGGCATTTCAGACTTAAGAAGTTTCATATGTGAGGTCCAGAGGCTCAAAATACGATCAGGCATTGGAAGAATTTCTCACTCCCTTCCAGAAATACAAGAGGGGTTCCATGATTGTCTGCTTATGAACAGTGTGAGCCCATACCCTAATGTAAGCCTTGGGGAGGGAAAGTTGGAATTTGGTCGATGAAATTGAAAACTGACCTATTCTGTGAATGCAGATTTGTCCAATCAGAAGATCATATTTAACTGTTAATCTGTAAAACACTTTTGGAGGACCTGATAAAGGAAAAATATATAAAATGCTAATTTTATTTCTATAGAGCATTTTTTTCTAAATATGACATAAGTCCTCAGATTCATATAGATATAGAAAACAAAAATATTTTTTAAAAGCCCATTTTGCACCAAGATTGAAATTTTATGGTTTTGTTAATAAATGAAACTTTTTTAACAGAAAGATTTATTTATTGGATAGAGAGAGAGAGAACATGAGCAGGAGGGGCAGAGGGAGAGGGAGAGGGAATCCCAAGCAGGTTCTGCACTTAGTGCAGTGATGAGGGGCTCCATCTCACAACCCCAAGAACATGACCTAAGCCCAAACCAGGAATCCAACACTTAACCAACGATGCCACCTGGGCGCCCCAATAAATGAAACTTTAGACTCTACATGATGTTTCTTCTTTTCCTTTTAATTAAGAACAGAAGTTATACTTTGGTACCTAGAAAATTAGATCACATCTCAAAAAGTAAAGGAACTACCTGGAATGTGTTTAGCATTTCAAAAAATATTCTAGGAATACAATTGTTTCCCTGAAATTAATCCCTTTTAGAAAAAAATAGAAAACCTAATATACTTTGTATTTTAGTAGCCAAATTTAATCACATAAATTTCTTACTTGGGATAAAAAGTAATATAACAACTCTGATTCTCAAAAGTCGTTATCTCTTCCAATGTCTTCTTTCATCCATTTGTCAAAATCCCAGCTCTCTTTCAAAGCTATATTCAAATGTGACCTCTTGCAGAAAGATTCTTCAGGTTTTTCCAGCCCCTTCTTTGCCCAAACATGGCCCTTCTGCTTCCTTCTCAGGGTCACTTTATATCTCACACCAGGAAATAATTTTTTATGTGTTGGTTCTCCTGTTTCAATATATTTATCTCTGTATCACCTCCACTCCTCTATCACACTACCTTTTGTTCATAGTCTTACTCCCAATAAATATTCATTAGTTAGTCTTGGTATGTGTAAATTGTGTTTTGCTTCTGATTTTTTAACTTTAGGAACATTTGGAATCCAGCAGCATATTTTTTTATAACCTGATTTGTTAAATTCCATCAGCATATTTGGTACAGCCCCTAGCAAAATCTTGCACCAAAGCATCCAATATGTTGCTCTCTCTAATGAATGAATGTAGACAACAGATTTCCTTACGGTTTTTTTTTTCTTTATTATTGTGGACTCATCTATCCATTGGATGGGAATTACTTGTTTTAATTTATGTTGTTTGGCCATTGGTTATTGGTTTCACTAAATCAGTTGGTAAAGATGTGAATAGACCAGCAGTTTTACGAACAAAATTATCTCTATTATTTCTTTATTGTTTTCAAGTTTGGAAGTTAATATTTAGAAAAAGATTTGATTATTATGTTATTTTAGATTATAAATCTTATAAAAATGCTTTTTCTTTCTTTAAGACATTATTTATTTGTATGGTTTATGAAAACATTGAATATGTATGTTACCAGAAGCTCTTTAAAAAAAAAAAAGCACATTATTTAAGTTGCATCTAGGGATCTGGGAAAAAAACTGTTAAGCTGATAAAAATATTTTTTTATCAACTTTTAAAACCTTTTGATATCATTTTGCCTTTTCTTTTACCTCCATCCCCCAACCAATCCAGTGAGTGGCCTCCTGGGATTTCCTGACCCTATCCAAGAAACAACCGTGGTTAAACGAATTAACTTTTTTTAAAAAGATTTTATTTATTTATTTGACAGAGAGATACACAGCGAGAGAGGGAACACAAGCAGGGGGAGTGGGAGAGGGAGAAGCAGGCTTCCCCCTGAGTGGGGAGCCCAATGCTGGGCTGGATCCCAGGACTCTGGGATCACGACCAGAGCCGAAGGCAGACACTTAACCATCTGAGCCACCCAGGCATCCGAAACTAATGAACTTTTATTTAAATTATTGTACTTTCGGTTCTTTTGCTTTCTCTTCCACGTTTTGGATATAACTAGGACTTTTTCAAACAGAAATTTCACCTGAAAATCTCATCCATTTTGGAAAGGGCCCCTTATGGCAATTTCTGTCGAAAAGACTTTTTCTCTCATAGAAAGTTTATGTTCCTGATTTTCTTCCATCCTCAAGCCACAGATTCTAGAATGTCTGTAGCTTCTAATATGATTGCTTTACTACCTTATACTTTTATTATTTTGTACATTAGGATAGTTATTATTTTTACTGTTATTAAAAATGTTACTGAACTAAAAAAAATTTGTTTTCAAGATCTATAGATACCCTTGCAGGAAGTGTTTTGTTAAAACTATAATAGTTCATATTGATGGTAGTTATGCTTAAAGTGTTAGACTCACTGTTTAGTACAATTTCGTAAAGAACAATTGCAGCATTTACAGTTTCTGTGTTGGTAAAACAGTTTTATTAAACTCACTGTTTGTTTATAGTAGGTTGGAATATAACTTAAGGTATGTGTGTATTTTTTCCCCCATCAAGTAAAGTTAGATTAAAAACAAGAAAAAGCTTCCCATTTATTTTATAAAGGTCACATCCCAACATAATGCATACCTACACTGGACAATAAAAATCCCAGGGTAATGAATGAAGGATCTCTAAGGCCTTGTTAAAGGTGATGCTGTTGTGAACGCTTTCCTCTCCTTGACTGAAAGACTGAAGGCTCTGTTTTAGCTTAATTTCTTGCATTTTCCACTTGACTGTGAGTTGGTTCTACAGCAATTTTTAAAAGTTTTGTTTTGTTTTTTTGAATGAAATTTACTGTAATAATAAAGGATAATTAAACTCTAGCTTTATGGAATTGAAAGGGAGAACAAAAATAACTGGGTCAAACTTTAAGACTTTTATTTTTTTAAGTCACAATGGATCAGAATGGTGATCAAATAAAAATCTGAAAAAATGAAAAGTAGATGTGCCACCATGCTTTTATGAAGGCTTCAGTATAATTAGAATGTTGACAAAGTAGCACTAATAGAGGTCTCACAGATCAGATATTTCATCCCACTTGATTTTAAACACACATGTTGGCCTTGATTTGATTTTATAGAGTAGTCTCAATATAACAGTAAAGGTGACATTCAGAAAATTAAAGGCCCAGGTTAATAGGAAAATGGAATAAGAGCAGTAGGAGGAACTTCCCTGACAGCAAATAATGTAGTTTCACAGTCCAAATACCAGTATGTTTCTCTTGAAAACATACATTTTACCCACAAATGTTTCCAACTTGAAAATATCCATTTTACGTTTTAGAGAGTGAGGGAACAGGTCTTCCAGACGTTGGAAAACCAGAGGTAGAGGCAGTGCTCAGGGATAACAGCACCGATTCTTCTGTTTCCCCGCAGGGATTAGGGTATGGCCTTGTTCATGCCCAGTCTGGTTAAAAAAGCAGGAGAGCTGGTGGACCGTAAAATTGGCGAAAATAGAGGTGCATAGACTGCGTAACAATTTTTCTGGTAGAGTAGTCTAAGTCCTGTGTAAATGGAAATTAAAAAGAATTTGGTTTCTCGGCTCTGGCTGGATGGTGCCTGTAATGAAAGAACCACTGGAAACTTGGTGCCTATTAGAGGACTATAGGCCAAGGAAATCGGCTCTGAAGTGTGCCCATCCCACACACCCTGTGAAGACGCCTGGTCCTTGCAGAGCGTTGGTATACTCTGCTAAACAAATCAGGCCTTAATGGTGCAGGAGTATGCGTGCGCGCGCGTGTGTGTGCATATGCACGCGTGCACGCGTGCGTGTGTCCATGTGTGGCCTCCTTCTGACTATTTGCATCCATATGAAGTACGGCAGGAATAAAAATATATGTTTAGAGATGTTTACGTGCTAAATTCTTAAGCAAGTCTTTTTGCCCATAACTTAAATGAGAGAATTCATTGGAAGCACATTTCTATATGGATTTATGAGCTGTTAAATTTTTATGACAAAAAAAAATTCTGTCAGTAATTTCTAAAATATGCTGCTGGTAAAACTCCTCATAGTTTGCAGAGTAAAGGAACCTAAAGGCTTATGAGAGAAGATTCACAAGGAAGTAAGCATTGCTAAGAGAGTCACTCAAAATAGAGACCAAAGGATACTGAGGAAGCAGGGCCTATGTATGTCTCCTGTTTCACTTCTCAGAACACCATGAAGTTTTTACTTTTGTCAATTGCCACTTGTCGACTGCAATTCCACCGCCTTCTGGAACACATCCTTCTACTTTGGATTAAAATAGAGATCATGTAACACCTGTTAGCTAAATAGCCAATCCTGTATTAGATAGCTTAAACTCTGCCAGCACCAATCATAATTCTGTTCAAACAAGTTATATAATCTTATGGTTTTCACCTTTACAAGCCTGTTCACAATTCCAATTTGGAGCACACTTTTCATTTCCATGGACTCTGTGTCTCCCAGATGGCAATCCCTAAGACCTCTTCTGGGTCAAAAGGCTCTTAGCCATTCCTAGCATGACTGACAGTGATCGATCCAATGTTTTACCCAGTGGTGCTATCTTCAGTAATTTCAAGGTCAACTTCAGAGTTATTATTTTTTGTAATAGAAAAAAGAGATTTTATATATGAAGATCCCTTGGTTGAATTTTTTAAGTTATATGATACATCTGGCCATTGGGCATTTGAGGAAACTGTGGAGACTCAAAACCTAGCCACATGTCTGACCTCTCTGAGTAGCCAGATTATTAACACCCATGCTTTACTTACCACCAGAGGCTCCGTGCGTGGTCTGGGCAGGCAAGAAAAGGTTTCTCGCAGGAAGGTAGTGATCTCCAGGAGAAGTTGGCACGCTGCCATCTTCAAGGCAAAGGGGCAGCCACATTTAGAGGGGTTCACAGTACCTACAGAATGAAAGAGTTCCTTCATAAAGAAACAAACCAATAAAAAATACAGAGAGGCACGGTTTGATGGACAAAGCTACACATGTCCAAAATGAGACTGTATATGAGAATGTTATCTATTCATGTTCAATTGACCTATTCCCTTTAGCGTAATCTGTGCATTACTTTTACCTCTCTCTTCCTCCATTTTGTAACTCAATAGTGAGTTCCTTAGTGTTAAAATATCAGTCAGTAAGAACTAAGTTATTTTCCTTAAGGCTCATAGAGTAAAAAAACACAGCCCACTAAGCTAGAAAAGCCTTTTAACAAAAACAGAAATGGAAAGCAGTCTTGCAGGATTTCACACTGCTAATTTAATCAGATTTAGACTATGTACAGGGCGGTGAACTAGTTTTGGCACTACAAAAATCTTGCCAGCTCATTTTATGAGAGTTATCTATCTTGAGGGCAGTGATGTTGCTTCCACTAGCCCAGATGTGTCTCTGCAGCACAGACAAAGCATACTTGATCACCTCTTTCATACACATCATACAAGTTAGCCTATCATATTAAAACATAGCTACACTAGAAGTAGGCAAATACTCTCCTTTGCTCTGAAGAATATCAGCCTTTGAATGAGTAAAATGTTGCCTCTATCATAGACCCAGATTTTGCTCTAAAGGCAGATAATGGCAGATAATGGCCAAGGTGACACCAGAGACTTTTAAAATTCTTAGGATTAGTTCTCAGATATATGTCATCACTAATCCTGCAGAAAATTTACCTGTGTTCAGAAAAGAAGACCAAAGCAATGTTGAGTTCTGCCTCTCATAAGAGAAATAAAATACTTATCTATTTTGAATCAAGGCATCAAACAATCACAGTATCATTACATATCAACATTCCTAGACATATTTCTAAAATATTTCCTGTGTATTAGGCTTTCTTAATTGAATAGGATATATATATATACACATGTATGTGTATATATATATATATCATGGCTTATACTGAGAGTGGGTGGAAATTATGTTCTTTCTGAAGATATCTGGTTATCACTTCCTCATGAAAACCATTATTTTTTCTCCAGAGATAATATGTGGATAAGGACATTACCTCTTATTAAGAACTGAAGAGACAAACTCCTCTAGAATTTCTAGACTGATACTTTCTTGAGGCATAATTATATTTTAAATGCAAGATGAGTTATGTACTGACAAGAAAGTAGAAATAAGCCAGACATTCCAATCTTATATTCAGTGGAGACTACATAATTCTAGAAATTGTCTGGATGTGCAATAGTTTTTAAACAATAATCTAACACTAAATATTCAGTATAAACTTGTGGATCTGTCCCGAGGTTATCATCCAGATTCTTCTTGTTAATCCTGTAAACAATGAACTTGGTCTTAGTCCAGGCACTCTGTAACTATCATCTGAAATATTCTGTCAAAATGAACAAGAATTGAGTCCTACATGCTCTCATCAAAAAGCCTAAGTACCAGGCATAACAAATGGTAAAAGATACTTCTGTGGTCTCATGGAGATTAAAGTTCATTTTGGCCTGTGAGGATGCATCCATCTAATGTTGCTTTAGCTCCTCTCTGTTCTGAAGGATCCCTAGGAGATCCAGGGCAGTTGGGGATGGCTTCTGATAGGCCTTCACTAGGTTCTGTGTTTGCTGGATAGCCCTCAACTGGTCCTAAGGATTAGACCCAATTCCGTTCTCCATTCTACAATTCAGAGGCATTCTAGGATAGTCTAGACTCTTGTGAACTTGAGGGAATCTTTGGAGGCCAATGTTCACTGGTAGGCTGAAAGACTGATGTCAGAATTTGGTGTTTTGTCAACAGCTAAGTCAAGAAAATTGGCTCCGATGCGATAAAAGCTGAGAAAGGGTAAAGAGATGAGAAAAGACTGCAAAAAAAATCCTCAGTATAAAAGTGGGAAAAAAAGGTAATAAGTTTTCTTTGATTGTTATTTAATTATGCACACTGTTACACCCTAGTCATCCTTTTACATTTCATGACTAGAAAGATGAAGTAGGGTTGGCATCACTTAACTAAGAACAGTCTTTAACATAATCAGGGAATTTGAGTTTCAAATCACTCGGGACAGTCAAGAGGAAGAGGCCTCACTGTCTTCACCAGATAATGTTACTAATTCCATTACCATTTAGGAATTGTATGGCCCAGAAAAGGCAGTGATACACATACACAACAAGCTTGTATGGTGTAGAACACATGTGTGCACAAAATGGGGTTGAAGAGGAATGTACAGGAATCTCTTTGTCTCTACTCTTCTATGGCAGAACTCGCTTCTAATTTTAACAAATAAGTACAGTATAGCAGACATTCACAGTCTAACCATCTCAATTATTTAATATTTCAAATTCATGTTAAATACATGTTAGTAATTATTCTAAGGAATCCACTACTTTAATGATCTGGGAAGCATTTCATGTTCAATTCTATTTGGTCTATTTTTTTTTTAATCTCCAAGAGCAACAACAAAATGTAAAACCTGGTTAAACCTCTACTGGGTCAGTAATTTGCTGCTCTATTTGCTCAGAGAAGCCTAAAACTAATTTTTGTGTAATAGTAAGAGTCATAGACTACAAGGCAACGGATGCTTCATATTGCCTGCAACTCCTTGTCTCTGTCTATAGTCTTCTTTTTCTGGTTCTCGCCCTCTCTTTGTGTGGCTTTATGCACATGCATCACATCCATGCAGAGGGAATAGGGGAAAAGGCGCAGTGGGGAGACATGAGAAGGTGGTAAGAATGTGAAAGAGGAAAGAGAAATATTAAGTGCTCCTAAAGCAGAGATTCTTACAAGCAGGGGTTCTTGTAGTAAAGGGAGTCTCCTTACTGTCATCTAAAAAGTCTTCTTCCTCATCCTCCTTTCTCAGTCTCCTCTTGGTCTCCTCATCATAAATGAGACCCAGCAGGTTGGCGGGGCTCTCACTTTCCCCGTGGCACAGCTCATTCAATCGGACTCCAATCGCCTACCATGGGGAGAAAAAGAGCGAAACAGCACAAAGTATGTCAGACTGTAAAATAGGCTCTCACATTATAGAGGTCATAAGCAACTGTTAATGGGAAGGTATGTATAAACTACTAGGGCACATGAAACCAAGAGACTGATACCGAAACATACCACAGAAGCCTCCTCTATGCGCCACGATGGTGTTGCCACCACGTTTCCCTATGTGGAAACCCAGAGGTGGATGGCATTGACACTATCTCCAAGGTTATTTGGAGACTTATAGGAACCGGAACAATACCTATGTGTTCTCATACAAATTTTTTTCTGAAAATATTTCCACTTACTCGAAGGTCATCTATTTTATAGGTCTCCTACAAGGGAGTATGCAGTTGTTTTTAATGGATGATTTTGTTGTAGTAAAAAAAGAAAACAAGAATTCACAGTTCCTCCAAGTGCTTCTGATTATGCTATTTTATGAGAATGTCACTGCCATGCTAATGAGTTGGAGGTTGGCATGAATTCTAACACAGCAGTTATATTTATATCTGCCATTATGTACACAATTAATGGCTTTTTTATAGACTTTGTCCCTCACTCCATGATACCCTATAAACTAGTAAGAAATACTAAGTATTCTTTTGGTAGAGTATCCAACATCAACATAGAACCAATACCTGCTGTCTGTTCTGAATCATCATGTACTATTGTCTGATTTACCAAAAGGAATTTTCCATAAAGATACAAAATATGCCACCACCTCTTTCTAATTCTTTTTATTTTCCAATTATATACTGTGTGCAAGACAAGAAGAGACACGTGCTTAGGAAGGAGAGTCAAAAGCTAAAATGAGCACTGAACTTGGGGTTTGACAGCTTGGTTTCTCTGTGCATTCCAGCTAATTTTATTCTTCCTTCCTGTATTACTTCTTTCAAATATTTAGAGAAGTTGCTGGATTCTGGGCATGCATGAAATTAGACTTTCTACTGGAAACTGACAAGGATATGTCTTCAAATGAAAACACAAGTTGTTTGAATGTCTTGGCTATCTGGAAGCAAAAAGGTCTCCTTAAACTCTGGAATTAAGAGACAAGTAACAAAAACTCTATCCATGAGAAAGAAAGCAGTGTAAAAAAGGTGTCACAACTTCCTAAAAGTTCAGGCACTACCCTGAGAAGTTTTAAGCAAATGAAACAAAATATAAAAACAAAAACTACTACCTCGACAAAAAGCCTTGTCCTGATGTTACTATTTTGGAGATCTTCTCTAAAGGAGACATGCAATTATGAGTCCGGAGTGGAGCCAACAAACTTAATAGTGAGATTCAAAGGGGAAAAAAAAATCTGCATCGATCATTCCAGGATGTTGACACTAAGCAATTTACATTAAATCCACAGTTCATAAAGCTTAAAAGGTTGCTCAGAAAACAAACTTGTCTGGGATAATAATAAATGTCTAAATAATAATTTAGAGCTCCATGTCTCTTCCAAGGCTTAAAAAATGCCTCGAGGATAGGTTTGTTCTTTTTTTCTTCATCAAATATTTATTAAGTGAGGTTATTTGTTAGGTATTAAATAAAACAGAGTTGAATAAATTGTTACAGTATGTCAGTATCTTTGCTTCATGTGCCCTAGTAGATTTTAAACCTTAGCTCAAGGTGGCTAAGCAAGCTGTGGTCTGGGGTTCAAATACAGGGTGTCTGTTTTTTGGCTCTTCCCCTCAAGGAGCTTACAGTCTCCTGGCGAGGCAACAACACATCAGGATAACACATTAAATGTCAAAAGAGACAAAAAACACTTTAAACAGTTCAGAAGATGGACAGATTCGATTCAGTCAGAGAATTATAGAGTGTCTCTTTGCTGTCGATTTTGAAGGACTGGTGTTTTGGCTAAAGCGGAAGGGGAGGAGCGGAAACTCCAGAAGGAGAGTTCCAAAAGATCCATCGAGGAAGTGCACTGATGTGTTCAGAGACTGACAAGTAAACCACATGGTTGAAGCACACTTTTGTGAGAGGAAATCATGTGCAGGAAGGCTGGCAAGGTAGACTGGGACTAGATCCCATAGTTCTTGAAGCCGAACTTCATTTTGTATTCTAAAGAAGGATGAAGGGTAATGTGTGAGTGGGGGAAAACCCTTACTCATTTGAGAGACTCTGTGTTAACTGCCTAGAAATGCACAAACCATGTATCCTTTCAAAAATGAATGTAATAACTTATTATCATTGAATACCTCTTAGACAGAAAGGATTGAGATAAATGGTCTTTTAGCTATATTAGCTCATTTGACTTCATCATCCATAATCTTGGTATGGTTTGAATACTAAGAGAGAGCAGTGATGCCAGACTAAGCAATTTGGGTTTTATCCCAAGGGAAAAGGAGGGCCACTGAAGCATTCTAAGTGGGTAAGAAACACCATCTGATTTGCATTTTAGCCTAATCACTGTGAGAGTAGCTTGGAGAATGAATTAGAGGGGGCAAGTCTGGAAGCCAGGAGATAAGGATGAATGTTCTGCTTTTAAGTGGGCTCTGCCATATGGAGATCATTTTATTGACAGTGTGTAGGATGGGTCAGATGGGGGGAGACTGTGGGAAGAAGACCAAATAGGAAACCATCTTAGTCATCCAGATGAGAAGGAATGAAGATGTGACCTAAGAGGACGTTGGTGGCAAGGAAGAGTGGCGTCAGTAAGGGAAGGGAGGTTGGCCTATGTTCAAAGGCTGCCATCTTAGATAATGGTGGTACCATTTATAAAAATAGAGAGTTTAGGAAGGTTTGCAGATCGGGGTGTATTTATATGGGAAGAAGAGTTTTACTTTGGTCAGATTGTGTTTCAGGGTATTAAGTGAATGCCTCTGGAGTGCATTTGGCAATGTTGGCCTGGAATCTGAATGGTGCTATGGATAGAGAAGTCTGTGCTACCGGCATACAGGTTAAGGTTGGAAACACAGGAATAAATGTAGTCCTGGGGGAGGTTATGCAGGAAAAAAATTATAACAAATTCTGGGAATGTGTACATTTGTAAAGGGGGAGGAGACAGAGTTCCAAGGAAGGAGACAGAGGAGATAATGTCTAACTTCATAAATTTATTGGGAAGATTAAATGAATTAAAGTTTATTTTCCCCTAAGATGTTTTGTTCCGTGCCTGGTACATAACAGACACTTAATAAATTGTCTCCCAAACAAACATAAACACTACCTTCTTCACTTCACTCAAGCACCCCGATTTTTATGTAAGAAAATCAAAAGCTCACGTCTCCCCATTGGTAGAAGAGCTTGGCAGCATTCCACTGCAGCTTCTGGTTCCGTTTGTTGCCCACAATGGGGGAGCGGCCCCTTGAAAGGCCTTTCTTGGTGATATTCACGTGATGCCCTTTCATCCACTCTGGCCAGTTGCCACGGTTACAGCGGTGAACAAACCGGGCACATTCCAGGAACAGAGCTGCTCTGGCTACCACAGGAGCTTCCTGAGGACGGTTGTCAAGGAAAGAATGATGTGGGATTAATGAACAATAGGCTGACCTTCACGGGAATTACTATGTATTCTTCGTTCTTTTACTCTCCATATCTTGATTTAGGTTAGCCATATTTCCCAGGGGAGTAGTATCATGGTTAATGGTAGTGGGAATTCTGGAAAATGAATCCCTGAAGACAAATTGGGATAGTGCAGAATTAGACATTTTAAGTAGATTTCTGTGTTTATAGTTTTCCCCTTTTGAAGAATCTCAAGTAATTTCATGACTCTCTTTTTGCATAGTTAAGAGGCAGCTGGGATTTGAATGCGAGAGTGAGACAATTTTCAAAGGAATTTTTCAACATGAACCTTTTGTTAAACCTAAAATTTTAACCTGAAGCAAATAAATATTCAATTTCTAGAACCAGTCTTATGTTAATCAAGGGAGTCAAGAGTGATTTTGTTCCAACAATAATCTGTTATTTATGACCATCCACATGCTCCAAAGAAGTACTGTTTCTGTTTCGATTGTTTCTGCACCTTTTGGCTAGTAAGAAAAGGAAGTGCTTATTAGATTTTGTTGAGTTAATCTTTTTTCTCCTGACTTTGTCATGAATAACAGATCAAATTCTGCTTAAATAGGCATGGTCTCAATTGAAAATGTTCAACAAAGAGGAAATGATTTAATTGATAAATGAAAAACAGAGCATTTCTTCAGAAAAATAGAAATTTGGTTCCATCCTGTCATGTCAAGATGTATTTGAAAAAAAAATAAAAGAAGAAACAACTTTTAGTTGATACCCAGAAAATAGTAAGTATATGCTACCTACTGAAATCTTTACAAGCTAAATAAATAAATAAGTAAGGGAAGGAGCATGAAGTTTCCCTAGAAGGTCAACAGGTCACAAAGAAATACATGCATCAACAATTAATGTGTATTTTAACTTGTGCCAGTTTAAAAAAAATACATCACAATATTAGGCATCACCTCAGAGTTACCCAATAACCATAAGTTGATTAGTAACCACAGGTTTTCAAACTGAAACACTTTCCATCATTTCAAACAATAATGTTCTTAACAATGCCTTGATCCACGATGTTAAAATAGGGGCTAATATATGAAGCATATCAATTACATGCCAATTAGTTTTTACGAGTTGTAATTCTTAATTATAATAACAAGCTTCTGGTCTAGAAAGAATATCTTCATTTCAATGTTTTTAAAGTGAGGTATAATTTTTCTACCATCATACAGCTGGGAAGAGGTGACCACAGGATTCAATACCAGATCTCTCTAATGCCCAAATCTATGTCAGTTCCTCTTCAGTATCTGCACTGCCTTAATTTATGTACATCTAAATCTTGGCAAAAGATGATCTCTAGAAGGCATGTAGAAAGTCATTGTTTAAAAATGGGACATTAATGTCATGTAATGTTATTCTCTAAAACACAGATATATGATCACATCATTTTCCTATTTAAAATTTTATTATAGGCTCCATCCACCTCAATAATAACATGAATAAAGAAACTCAACCTTTGTTATCTGGTTCATCTCCCTTTCTATCCCTCTATCAAGTACTTTATGATCTAACTGCATCAAACTGGTTACAGTCACCCCAATATGACATCTTACACATTTTCATATGTTGTTTCCATCATTTGCAGAGCTGTTAAGCCCCTTTTCCATCTGGCAAATTCCCACTTTTAAGAATAAAATACCTCCTCTAAGAAGCCTTCCTTAATTTCTTTCTTCTTAGGCAGAGTTGGTTACTTCATACTTTGAGTACCACAGTATCTCAAGCACACTGAATGATTCAAGTGAGTTAACCCTTTAAGCATTTTCTCATTGTCCTCAACTTAGAAGAAGCCATCAAGAATTCCAATAAGAAATATATTTATGTAGGAACTTAATTTCACAAAGCATATGACGTATTGCTACTATGTACAAAGTTAACCTACGTGAAAAGGCAGAATACAAGATGAACACTAATAGTGAGAACCTATCATTAATAAAAAATGGACACTAATGATGAGAATCTATCATCCACTACATTGGTGCTAAGATTTGGTAGCAGGTCACCGGAACAGAAAGACTTGAGATTGCAGAGGGTCAAATGACTTTCTGCATCAAACCTATCAATATTGTGGTACCATAACATAGAGATTAAATATCTACACTCTGTTCTTGTATTAAATATTTATTTAATTAAACATCTCAGATATGCTAATCTGTGTCTGGAAAAGGCTTGAACATCTGTCTCTGAAAACATATGGCAGTCTGGAGGGCAAGGTGAGAAACGTGAATTTATTCTTAGCCCATCACATTTTGACACATTCCCAATATAAAGCAATGGGATTAATTGCTTAATGGTAGGATTACTGCTGAGGTAGCGTTGTGTCATAGACCCTGGCTCCTACGGGATTACCAAGGGTGAAAGTTAACCCACTCAAATGTATGGGGCAGAGGATCTTTTTATTGCCATTAACTTTAGATGATGATGAGAAGGTTAGCAACAGATGAATGAGAAATCCAAACTGTGCTTTGTGAGTATTCCCATGTAGATTGTCTTGCCTTCTTCAGAAAAAAAAATGGTTTTATTTGCTTAAGAAGCTCAGGGCATTTTGAATGAAAAGCAGTTATGATTTTCTGCTCTCAAAAACGAGTTATAATAAAACTCTGATATTACACCAGTTATCGGCCCTAGGAAATCCTAAAGTTTGGAAATGGAATTGAGATCAATATGAAAATAATTCCCACTAACTCGGCAGCACAATCTTAAAGGGAGAGGTGATTATTATCTGATGAATTTGATCCATTGTTAAATTGTAAATTGTGAAACCAGGTAACTTTTGGAAATGTTGCTCTCTGCATTAAGGAATGAGGACATAGAGTAACTCAAATATTGCCTTTTAATTATAATCCTCATGAACCTGGCGGGTGAAAATAGGCTTGAAACCCTATAGTCAAGATGGCACTGAATACTAGCACTTTCTGGGGGTATTATAGTATATGTTATTGTACAGACAATTGAGGGAGTTGTTGAGGACTCTACAAAGCTAAGGACTCTACTGTGCAACTTGGTAGAAGATACTTAGCAGTAAGTACTGACATCACACTGTGTATGAAAGAGCATTCAAGGCATTCTAGGGTGGATGTGGCTATGGGGAATTTTTTCCCTTATAAGTTCCTTTCAAAGTGTAGTTTAGAAAGTATTGATTTTTAGGGGCAGGGTTATCGAATACCTTGGACAACAGATTCTTCCTGGACATAAAGAAGAGTCATTTTTTCCTCTTTTGATGGATCTTACCTCTTATAGCTCAGCACAATCTGAAGAAGCAGCAAAAAATGGAGACATGACAGAATGGATAAGGATGGATTCACATCACAGAGAAAAACAGCACAAATGGAGAAAAATGAATCAGAAGAACGCTGCATGGATGAAAAGAACCACAGAGTATCAGAGCATAGTCAAAGTGAACATCTAAACAAAATTTGATACCATTGGTATACCACAGAGAATTTTTACTGGTGGTCCTGAAAGAAAAGTAGGCTTATGTAAATTTCTTTCTTATTCGCATGTCTGTTAGATCACCTTTTTATGTTCCATAATGCCATGGAGTGGCTTCAATTCAATTATGGCATAACTTCACAGTTTCAGACAAGCAAGAATCAATTTTAACTGGGAAGATTAGATTGACCTGAAATATTAGATTAAATCATATGGAATTTGTAAGCTTGAAGGTCAAAAATAGTTGAATACTAACAGTTTCACGTGGTTTGCTCTTATATAAGATATTCTCTGCAATGACTACAGAGCTGTTCAGTTAAAGTTACAAAATGTTCTAAGAATGTCATTACGCAGCATGGTTTTCTCTAACATTCTGCAATGAGAAAACTTCAAGTGTTGGCTACCTTTCCTTGACTTCTTTTGTCACTTTTCCCTGCATTTTATCAGATCATTATGTATATTGAGTGTTTCCTTTATGAAAGTGAAGGAGAGAATTGGAACACTAATTCAAACAGCTATGCTTTATCTTACCTGGGGACTTAGAAAATATTGTTACCAAGATACGATGGTTAATTGAAGGCTATAATTGCAATACATTCCTATCCCTGAAGAACTATATCTAAACTTATTATGTGAGAAGAAGTCCCAATTCTGAAAACTCATATAAAAACACTGGACAGGAATTAACTGTTTTAAAAGACTGAATATTTTATGTCAGCCCCTGGGGAATTACATAATATTTTTATTGCCTACAATAAAATATAAAGCTCTTGCTGGTGCAAGATACCTACTTACTTAAAACCAGTGGGACTAGGTAGTTATTGTGGGTCCTAGTGTGCATTGGAAGCTCGTTTGCTAGAGGGCATGTGCTTGTGCGTCAGTATTTATTACTTAGTCTGTATTGAATTCTCTGCCTGGCTGAGATCATTAAGTAATGGACCGGCTGCATCTGCCCTTGCTCATTTCCACAGTAGCTGCGGGCAACTGAAATCATTCAGTTGTCAGGCTAGAGGCAGGCATTATTTTTTAGTACATGGTCTAGATGGCTTGCCGTTTTAACAGTTACTCAGATCACACTAATATTTTGGGTAAGTATTATAAAAACCAAATGAAGTCCTCTGCTTCTGACAATATGATGGATTAGGTGTAAAAACAAACTTACTTTGGTTTAGACATCTAAAAATACTGGAAAAATATCCCCTAATTTCTTCATCTTGTTTTTGCTTTTGTTTCTAACATGAGATAATAGACTATGGGATAGTAGAAACTACAAGAAAGTGTAATTCTGGGTGGAGAACAGAGACTGGTGCGAGCTAGCATAGGAATAATTACCCTGAGGGTTTCTATCGACTAAGGAGAGGCACTGGGTTTTCAATGGGCCATGAGTTAAATGTTTGGGCCCAAGCAGAGCAGGAGGTCAGTTCGTTTACCTCTATGTAAAGTCCAGATCCCAGGTGGGAGTCACCTTCAGTGGATGAATAGGAAAAAGATCTACCCCACA